AGTTAATTTGTTTCTAGGCAAGATTTTGAATTGAAAACATGTGATATTTTCCTCTACTTCAGAACATGTCTCTTGGCCCACTTTCTAAAGGGCTCATTGAAAAGTTAAACAAAGGGGGGGAAATTGATATTTTCAAATCATTAACATGATTACCAGTTAAGTTATAAACCCCAACATCGAAGCCTGATGCGAACTTTTAAGAGGGTGAGACATGTTTCTGCGATTTCGGAAAAAAGTTAACATTTTGATAAATTCTTGCCCTGCATAAATAGTGGACCATTCTGAAAGAATATAAAACTCGTTACGAGGTAATAAGACGGAAGATGAGAGAAATTGAGAGTAAAACCGGTGCATCGTGCCAACTGGGGAAAACACAAGCCGCAATGACAACGCGACGCTGCTGCGGGTCGATTGCAGTGGCGTGGCGTGCTTTGCGATACATCGATTGTTATGCCATTTAATCCTATGGAAAAGGATCGATAAACAGGGTGTTCGCACAGCGAACATCGTAATGATCGATTCTTTACCATAACTTTAAATGGCATAACAATCGATACGTCGCAAAGCACGCCACGTCACTGGTTATCCAATGATCCTGATCGATAAATCCCTATCTTAGCAATGCTTTGTATCGATCATGGTCACTCGATATCGATTCAACAATCGAGCCGCGGGTCACGTGTAGACGCGACGCTGCGATACGCCGTGGGAATTTACGCAAGGTCAAGAGAAATACAGGTCAGATACCTCCATTATCTACTTCTTCGTAATTTTTTGCGATCGCTATGCATTTTTTCTCTGTTTACGTTTTGCAAAGCTCAATAGCGATTTTTGAAACTTGGCAATACTGTTTTCCTCCATTGAAATGCATGCAAAACAATCGATTCTTTACTGAAAAAAAAAAGGTGCTTGGTCCAAGCATGATGATTCTTGAAATTGCCGTCAAGAATATATTTTATCTTGATTTAAGCTGAAGTTTTCTTGATACGAGATAAATTATGCTTGGGTTATAAGCAAAAACGTAGTTTACATAAGGCAAAAAAATTCGTGAACTAAGAAAAAATACTTCTTGGCGGAAAATTTAAGATTCTTTTTTTCAGTGAAGGAGAGAAACCGCACTGGCATCGATCGAGGCAACATTCAACAAACTCTGAAACACTACTTTTTTCCGATTTATCCATTTGAGATTCATTTCTGTCATTCACGTTCGTTCTGTTCGGGGGAAGGATCCTCTGAGTTGACGAGGATCCTACGCGAGAGTGCACTGAACGCAGCGCTCACCATAGTACGGCGTCCTGTAGAACTCATCCCTAGTTTGGCGTAATGCGAGAAGTATTCATGCTGCCTTGTAGGCGCTATTAAGCGTCTGCGCTGACCGCACCGTTTAACGCAATGCATGAAGTATCCCTGCAGTTTCGCAGGTGCTAATACTCGTATGCGTTTAACGCCGGTCGCACTGTGTTTGACGTGATTATTCGAACTCGTGTTAGAATAATCGCGGCATCGAATAATGGAGCTTATGGGGCTTATGGAGCTCTTCCATGAGAAACAATACAAATTTACGACTTCAAATTTTGAACCAAATCTCCTGCTATCGAACACAAAAAATCATGCAGAATTTAAGTTTTATGTTGACCAGCTTCTCGAAAAAATGATAAAATTTCTAAGGAAGTCTGCAACGTCGCAAATAGAGAAACGTTGTCTCTCATTTTGCCCAAAAATATGTATGTATAAGAGTGAAGGCATTATGACTTTCCTCTCTCAACTTATATTCGTCTGTAACGATAAACAATGGGACGCGTTCGCCACGGCGCCTTGATACAACCATACAACCTCGACGGATGTCCGTATTGCGTTCAAAAAATTGAAGGCGTTTTGACTCCCTGCTCATACTACCTGTAGTTGATTCGATCACCAGACGCGTTGGTCGGCGGTGACGGGGACTTGATGCAACTATTTAAACTTGACGGATGTTTGTATCGCACCGACTGAAGTGCGAAACCACGTATCTCCATTGCGGTGTTTCAAAATTTTCGTTCTTGGTACAGGATGCTCAAAACACGATGGTGCCACTAATTTTCTCTGAAATCATATCCTAAGCTCAAAAAAAGCTCTCAAAGTGAGGCCAAAATGGAGGAGATATCCCACCCTACCCTGAGATTCCACCTCTACATCAAAACAAACTTTCCATGCATAGATAGGGAGCAAATACATTAGCAGGGTTGCCGTGTTTTCAGTTTTGGAGTCCCCAAATAAAGTGACAACCCTGCTAATATATTTGCTCCCTATCGATGTATGGAGATTTTGTTTTGATGTAGAGGTGGACTCTCAGGGTAGGGTGGGGTATCCCCTCCATTTTGGCCTCACTTTGAGAGCTTTTTTTGAGCTTGGGATATGATTTCAGAGAAAACCAGTGACACCATCGTGTTTCTCGCGAAGTTTTACGTAAGGATCAATGGTCAAATCGCAAATCCCTCACACATGCAACATCTCCATTGGCCGCCAAGAATTTATCTTATCTTGATTTAAGTTGAGGTTTTCTTGATACAAGAAAAATGATGGTTGGGTTAAGCAAAAAAGTACTTTATTGGTTTCAGAAAAAAATATTTCTTCGCGGCAAACGTAAGATTTTTTTTTCAGTGTTGGTAGTGAGGCAATCTGCCTCATTTAAAATCGATATTTTGAATGGATTTAAAATGAGGGAAAACTGAGTTGCCAACTTTTTAGACTCGCCAATGGCAAAGCTCCCGCAAGGGAGTCAAGTTACACCTCATCTCACAATCAGCCCATGGAAAGCGCAGGGCTCCCGTGTTACGAAAAAGAGCAGTAAGTACATTCTGCGGGCCGATAATTGAAATTGATAGACAAAGCTATAGACAAGGAAGAGGAAAGGGATCCTATTGGTGGAAGCGGGTGGTTGCAACGGACAAAGGAGGTAGGTATAGAAAAACTAACGGCAACCCACAAGAGACTCAATCTATCATTGTCAGTCTATCATTTTCTCCCGTAATCTGTAGGAATCAGGCTGGAAAAAAAAACACATTGGATGTAGAGTCCAGACTCTTAAAAACATCGGCGAGAAAAAGTGCTCTTGATTCAATCAGATTTAAGCTTAAATCAAGAAACAAGCCTTATAATTTGAGCGGATTTCCTTTTGATTTAAGCTTATATCTGATTGAATCAAGAGTCCTTTTTCTTGTCAATGTTTTCAAGAGTCTGGACTCAAGATCCAATGTGTTTTTTTTTTTTCCAGTGCACCCATTTCAACCAATAGGGTCGCTCCATTCTCAATGTGTCTTCTTTGCCTATCAATTTCATTAATCAGCTTGCTCGGATAAGCCTCGCGACATGTAGGAGCATGCGTTAGGTAATCGTGACTGAAATTCTACCACAAAATAAATTTTAGAGGATGCTTTTCCTGGCAAACGTTAGGAGAAAATCAATGAAAATTCCTTTAAGCTTCTACGTTTGGAATTAACGAGGCAAATATCTCCATCGTTTCGCTCCACTGAGCTTCGCTCCGGATTTGGAAGAATCGGATTCATCAAAACAAAGAGCATCTCTTCCTGGACTGTTTTTCAAGTTGTGCGGGTCAAGGAAACTCAAATGTCAATTCAAATTTTACTTGGGCTTGAAGATGTTTCCTTAACGCGACAAGCACGAGGGAAAATCGTCGCGGAAAAAGTTACCCTAACAAGGAAAACCGCCGGCAATCGTAAATAATGTAACAATAATGAATCTATTATTTTCCTCGGCGTGTTGCATAATGAGCGTTTTTGGTTACAATGTGGATTTTTTTCTTTAAATGAGCGTTTCAGCTCAAAATAAAAAACCAATCCCTCCCCTCCCCCCAAAAAAATATAAAAATAAATAAAAAACGAAAATTGATCATAAATCAGCGCGTTAAAAATATTTTGTCAGTGGTCGAAAAATGATAATTGGAAGTAGCGTCGGTGAAATACAATAATCCTCGAGAATCCTAGATATTACAACTATTTTCACTTCCAAGCCAACAGGGAAAAAAAAATATTGCCAAAAAAATTATAAAAGCTACGAACAGGGGACATTCTGTGCTCGTACTTAAAATAAAAACAAAATTAGCCGGCTTTAGGAGGATTAAGTCTAAGAGAGAGACGATGTCTAAACACGAATCTGACGATAAAATGAGAAAAGTAGAAATTGGTAAACATTTGAAAAGAGAGAGGAGGGGGGAGGAAAAAAGAGGGTAGAAGGAAAGAGAGGCTTCAGACTAAACTCAGTGGCAATTCCCTTTACTGGAAGTATTGAAGTTTCGATACTTGAACAGAGTCCCCGTTCATTCGTAAAAATTACAGATTTGGTTCGAATACAGTCGAAACAAACAATTCGCAAATTCAATCCTGAAAAGCGATCATCAACTTAGATAAGAGCTCAAAAAAATGTTGCCAGCATTGAAAATAATTTATTTGAACCAACTTAACATCATTGATGATGTGCATTTTTACCTGCAATTTTGACTCCAAGCTCACGAGATATCATAAATCGATCGACTCTGACTGAGGATGGAAGTAAAAAACGTTGAGGAAAATAAAAACAATAACTTTCCCCGTTGAACACCCTGTGTATCAGCATCCAAACGTCTCAGGAAGATATTCGCGACTGTTTCGAGACGTACCACACGGTGGAACCAGTCACTAGGAGAGGTCGGACAAAAATTGAAAACTTTAAAAGCTTGTAACTCCATTCATACAAAGTTTCAAGGGTTTAAAATTCGTTCCATAGGTTTCCTCGTGAAATTTTCTCTCAGAGTCACCCCTTGAAATTCAAAATTTGAGAAATTAAACATCGGAATTTGCAGTTTTAGTTAAAAATTTCATGTCCCAACTCTCGAATTGACTCGATCCACTGTGCGCCGTATAAACAAGAAATCAAGATCGTCGGGTTTTTACGCCTGCGCCTCTCTCTTCACATATCTTATTTTTTTAGACAGTGTGGCACTACCACTGCAATTTATTTTATTTGAATAATTAAGTGCGGAGAATTTCACCGACGGGTCAATGGATCACGCATCTTAGGGATTCCCCATACGTTTGATGGGCGAGTATAAATACTCTCCGTGGTTGTTCGGAAAGCTCAAACGTGTTTGAATCCACAAGCGAAGATCCTGCTGTAAGTACCTTTTGATTACGTTCACCTGACAGTGCGCAGAATATTAATAATAATTATTGATTTACTATTATAATTGTATATTTTTTTTCAAAAACAAACAAACAAAACACACAATTAATCATTATTTTTTGTTAATTTTTTTTATTCAATTTATGAAAATTTAGAGAAAGAATTGCAAAGGAATATTTCATTTATTAATTTAAAAAAAAAATAGAAAATCATCGTTTTTATTTGTTATCCACATTTTTAACATTAACGATGTATTGTAAAACAAATTGATGGTTAGTTAAAAATTTTATTGTAACCTTATTTTGCTTTAATATTTTTGAACATGTTCAGTTCTCCATGTAATTTCTTGCTTGTTATTTTTTTTGTTCTACGGTTGGAACTGCCTCATTAGTGCTAATTACTCTCTTAAATATGGAGTATGCTAGGTTCAGAATATTTCTGAAAAATGGAATTAAATATTATTTAAAAGACGAAAAACAAAAATTCGTGGAGCATGTTACATCTTCACCACATCTCAAAAATTTGATTTAAAAAATAGATAGATATGAAGTATCAAAGACGTATCGTTTTTCTACATCTAACAATTAAGAATATATCGCTGTCACACCTCCCCTGAACCACATGGGGGCTGTTTTTAAATTAAGCAAGGTTAAATTTAATTCTTTGTTTGCTATGTCTTCGAACATGTACCGCCATTCGAGTTTCTTCACATAATATTCCATATGCAATTATACAAAGGTACAAATGTTCAAAAAATCTAATACAAGTATCATCTTTTGCAATTGTTTTATAATTTGGTTTGACTTATGTTTACCGAACCACGTGACTCAGCGTGTCAACGTGTTTTTTAAATTGCCTTACAGAGTCAATTGCACAAGAAAATCAACCGTATTCATCTTGTAAAGCTGGGTGTGATTATTTAATTAACACTCCTACATGATAAACTTTCTAAAAATTCGCGTAAAAATACTGATAGAATTAGTAAACGATAAATTTCAACTTAGATAAGAGCTCAGAAAAATGTTGCCAGCATTGAAAATAATTTGTTTAAACCAACTTAACATCATTGATGATGTGCATTTTTACCTGCAATTTTGACTCCAAGCTCACGAGATATCATAAGAGCAACATCAACAACTAAAAATCGATCACTTTTTCTCACCTTTCCTTGTCTCTATGACAAGTGGACCGCCTTTAGCAGACAGGAACCAAGCAATATCGGCTATTGCTAAATTGAACCGGGCAATTCAATTTGCTAGAGGAGGAAGTTTGTGCGAATTCTTTCGAAAATTTTATGGAATGTGCTTCGTACTACGCAGAAAATTCACAGAAATTTGCACAAATATCTGCACAGCCGTTTTCATGTTAAAAATAAAACTGTCCAATGAAATTCGGCAATAGCTGATGTGGCTTTGGTTCCTTTCTGCTTAACGCGCACTGGAAAAAAAACAAATTGGATCTGGAGTCCAGACTCTTAAAAACATCGACAAGAAAAAATACTCTTGATTCAATCGGATTTTTGCTGAAATCAAGTACCAAGCCTCTTAATTTGAGCGGATTTTCTTTTCATTTAAGCTTAAATCTGATTGAATCAAGAATATTTTTTTTGTCAATGTTTTCAAGAGTCTGAACTCTAGATCCAATGTGTTTCTTTTCCAGTGCGGTGGAGTAAATCAACAAAAGATACACTTTTTTAGCCTTAGATACCGCCTTCTTCTCATAGGAAAAGAAGCTATAATATTTTTCAAGGCGCCTATCGAATATGCCTAATGTGTTTTTACAGATTCAACGCAAAAGACACTTTTTTGAGTCGTGGATGCCCCTTTCTTCTTCGAAAAAAAGAAATTGTGATATTTTTCAAGGCGCCTATTGAATATGCCTAATGTGTTTTTACAGGTTCAACGCAAAAGACACTCTTTTGAGTATTGGATGCCCCTTTCCTCTTTGAAAAAAAGAAATTGTGATATTTTTCAAGGCGCCTATTGAATATGCCTAATGTGTTTTTACAGGTTCAACGCAAAAGACACTTTTTTGAGTCTTGGATGCCCCTTTCCTCTTTGAAAAAAAGAAATTGTGATATTTTTCAAGGCGCCTATTTAATATGCCTGATGTGTTTTCACAGGTTGATCAAAGCTCGGAAACACCCTCACCATGCACAAGTTATTCGTGATTTTCGTCCTCGCCATCATAACCATTTCCATGGTCTTCCTTCAGGCTGACGGCGTATGCATTTCAAATTGGACGAAATGCAAGCCTGACGGTAGCATCGGGAACTGCTGCAGCGGATACTGCTTCCAGGAGAAGCCCGACTGGGAATACGGTATCTGCAAAAACAGATAAGCCCCTTCTTCTTTAGACCTCGCGCGGAGTGCGAATCCCTTCGAATATGGAATCAGGACCACCGATACGACCCTTACTGCCGTCCTCAGCAAGAACGCAGTATTTCCATTCTAGATTTCCTCAGCTTTTTACTGGTAAACACAACTGGTAAAAACAGCTCGAATCAAAATTTTAAATCTGAACTTAGTTTCGACTTCGAATGCACGTGGTTTTGCTAAACGGAACTATGCGCATTATGACGTGGACCCTGTTATGCATATATTCTTATGGGTCTCAGGGCTCATGTCTTAATGTACATAATTCCGTTCAGCAGATATACGTCCAAATATGATGAAGGAGTCGAACATTAGCTATCTTCCCTATATACTCTTCTAATAATAAATCTATGACTTCTTTTTGTACATATTTTAAGACATGTCCATGACCATTTATATTATACTGTAAAATTTCGTCACTTTCATGACCTGAGAGCCTGCAGTTTTCTGCAAGAAAACGATGTTATGTTTGAACAAAGCAACATCATTTTTGTTGCAACGTTTGTTATTGTTGAAAAAAGTGGAAAAATAAAAAAAAATAAAATGAGTTACTAACCAAAATTTGCAAGCATCTTTTTTTATTCATGAAGTTGAGCATTGATATACTGCACACCGGAAACTATGTATACATGTTGAGTCTTTTGTACGGTTACCTCTTGCACGCACGAGATTATTTTAGTTATACATACAAAAAACAGTTTCATGTTGTTTTGTTTGACTTTTTTCTTTATTCAACAAAAGTAAAAAAAGAAATCTAAAACAGAATGCCACGGATAGGACAAACCGGTATAGTTATTATAAATGTGCGGTAAAAAAGAGAATAGTAGTTTTATTTAGTAATATACATTTATAATGCTATGGAATGTATGCATGCTCCTCTAAAAAAAATTGCCCTTACTAATTAAAGAAATGCACACAACCTCTATGGAGGGGGGAAAAAAGCAGGAGAATAATTGAGAAAAAGCATTAAGAATAAAACATTATTGAGAGAGTATGAAAAAAAAAAATAGAGGGCAAGGAAATTGATACGATTCTACTTGACTGTAACCAGTGGCGAAGCGTGAGTGAGCGATTATCGATATTTCCACATTTAAAGCTATGGTAAAGAATCGATTATTTCGGTATTCGTTGCAAACACCCTGTTTATCGATCCTATTCCATAGGTTTAAATGGCGGATCAATGAATATATTCCAAAGCACGCCACACCACTGGTTGAAACTGGTAGTTATTATGGACTAAGGGGGAAATGGTGGACTAACCATATAGGGTCCATTATGGGTTACTGGTTGTTACTCAATTAATAAGACGTTCTTGTCCATTCTAATCATCCGTTTTCACCAATAAGATCGCTCCAATTTTTCTGTCGTCTTTATCTGTGGCTTTGCCTATAAATTTCAATAATCGAGGTTTTCTTCAGCTTTCTTTATTCCCAAGCCTCATTCTTCTTCCGAGTGATTGCCCGACGGACTCTTGCTTGAGCCTGTCTGTACATGATTTTATCATCCAACTTTTGGGAAGAGAGAAACAGATGATACCTATTCCTTTCCACATTTATTTTCTCCTTTGGAGGAGGAAATACATTGTTTTCTTCAACTAAACTTGAAAGGAAAAGCGTTGTTTTCAATTGAATTTCATTATCCCCAAGACGATACGACAATTTTATCTCATTCACACGTCTCAAAGTTAGAAATATCAAAGATGAAAAAAGACATCCTCAATTCGTAGTTTCCCTCACTAAAAAACGTGACTAAATTTCAATGCTGCAAAATTTCCAATCGGAAATTGAATATGTAACAGAAGAATCTTGGTTACTATTATTACCAAAGAATTTAACTGATTTTTCTTCGAATCTCATGCAAAAATCGTAAACATTTTGGACACAAATTTAAAAATTACATTCTCGTAAAAAATTGAATTGTTTGCGTGTCAATTTTGAAACCTTGGAATCGAGTTAAGTTCCTCTGTTCGGGAAACGACGAATTGAACGTATTTCTGCCAAACGGAACTATGTGAAATATGACGTGAGCCCTGATATGGACATATTCTTATGGGTCTCAGGGCTCATGTCGTAATGCACATAGTTCCGTTTGGCAGAAATACATCCAATTCGGCCATGCTAAGAAAAAACGCCGTATGAACATTCGAGAGTTGCCAAATTTCCTCGGATAAATTGTCTATTCTTGAGGAAAGTAATGAATATTTTTCCTTGGAATTTTCGGGCATTTCAAATCAAATGGCGAACAAAATCGTTTGGAAAATTCGAAGCAAAACATCCAAAAAATGTTCAGTAAATTCGATTTTTATTGAGGAGAATCTGGCAACGCCTGAAGGCTCATACGTCGTTTTTCTTCAGCACGGCAGAATCGAGGAAACGTTGTAGCGTTGCGGGTGCTGAGAGGGACGTGTCTCACTAGCGCGGCACTAAAGTTAACGGGTGGCAGTGCAGTGGTGGGACGGCATAGTAACTCGTCGTAAGGGGGCATCTCAATTTTCACGTGAGCCTTGTTTTCCATATAAATCCATAGTTTCAGGGGCTCATCGGGAAATCAGGACGCGCCCTTACGGAATATTTGACCGCTGAGTTATGCCGTAGGAGAGAGGACTGCGCCGCTTCATTTGCATCCTCCCACGCCGGGTGGTGGGCTCGCTCAGAAAAATTAGCCGAAAAATCAAACATTAAAACCTGCGGGTTGATTATTGAAATTGATAGACAAAGCTTTAGACAAAGAAGACGTAAAGGATATGGATAGATGGATAGAATTTATTGATGCATACAGCCTATAGTAAACAGCTCTGGCACAAGTCAAATTTACAATTGATACGACCATTACAACAATTTAAGCAAAATGAAATTATTATACAAGTTCCTCAAAAAATTATTTTAGATTATAATAAGCTTTATTTTTTAGTTTTATTTTCAATTGGTTAAGGAATATTTTGACGGAACTTTCCCTGTACATTACTTTTAACTCGTTGGTCAAGGTGTTGAAAAATCTTATCGCTTGATTTTTCATTACTTTATTCTCCCAAGTTGTTACAATATTATTGTTCATGAAGCAATGTCTAGTGCCATATTAGGCGGGGATTAGGGGTCATTCCGTCAATCAAGAGATGCCACCGGTAGAATCGGGTGATTGAAATGGATGAAGGAGGTAAGCAATAGAATGACTCACGGCAACCCATGATACTAAGGCCCTATCGTTATTCAATCATTTTACCTGATGGTCCATTACGACCAGCTCGTTTCATTAAATAGCATCGCTCTGTTTTCCCTACACGTTCTCCTAGTCTATTGCTTCATTCATTTTCAATAATTAACCCACACGCCTATTAAACTTTGGATTTGTTTCGCCCTGGTAACTTTATTTTTCGCTTTATCAATAATTTTTACAATGAGCCCACAGAACATCTCGGGAATCTAACAACTCACCTTCGGCATACTGTCAAAAAAGGTTTAGAACACTTTATTTCCTCCCGACTATCATATAGACGTCTTTCTACCAAACATAACTATGTGCGGGTGGAAACTACAGGGTGTGCTCGTTAGTTCTCAGGCCGTAAGAGTAAATGGGAACTATAAAGCGCCAGACTATAAAACGTATAGAACTATAAAACGACAGCGTCGACGAACCCGCTCCGTGGTCGCCCCTAGGCGTCTATAACTCATGAGCCCTGTCCACGACGCTCTTGCCGCGTGCCCACGGCTCATGAGTCCCACATACAGTTGCTACTTAGTTCCATTTGGTGAATTTAAAATCCCGCTTTTCCAATGCTTCAAAAGGAATCAAGCCCACTAATACTTTGTTTCTGATCGAGCACCTCACGAGCACACTCCATCTTTCCCACCCACGCTTAGTTCTGTTCGGAAGAAATACTTTCGTATAAGGGTTTTAGCTTTTACTGCTCCTTAAATTTTATTTTTGATTTGATCCGGTTGAAAATGGGACTATCGGGACCATGTAAGGTCCCGGCCTTTTGAACTTAGGAAGTTTAAAGTCTTGGTTATTGTCATATTTTGAGCTATTGCGGATTTTTTAAGAGAGCTAGAGAGCGCTGTGAAAGCGGCTAGGGTGTATGTCAGTGGCGAGGCGTGCTTTGCGATATATCGATTGATATACCATTTAAACCTATGGAAAAAGATCGATTGTTAGGGTCTTCGCAGCGAACACCCTAATGATCGATTCTTTACCACAGCTCAAATGAGGAAATATCGATAATCGATCATTCACGCTTTGCCACTGATGTATGTACCTAATAAAAACATGAATCCTGAAGGTAAGGAAAATATCACTCGAGACTGAACAAAAAATCCGCTCAAGTCGATGTTACGCTGGGAAATTTCCCAGCAATAAACTACATGACCATCAAAACATATGAATATAGAAATTAAAAAAATAAGTAAATATAGCCTAATTCTCAGTCGGTCATTTCAGCAGACCTGGCATTTTACGGTCAAAAAGGGTGGAAAAATTTCATGAAAAATAAACTCTTGATACTTCATTTGAAATATTTCATGAAATTTCAGAAATTTATGAAGGATACTGTAGATACCGATTCTTTCTCATGTTTCGCAAAATGTAAAAATTGTGACTTATTCTATTTTAATGCGTTTGAGTGCGGATTGCATACTCTAGCCCCTGAAAAATATATATTATTTCACCGCCTCGTGAAATTTCACGACATATTCCACAGAGATTTCCAACCTTTCATTTCTTTCTTATGTTTCATGTCACCCTGTGATCAAATATTTCCGGACTTTTAAAGAATTGCAACCCTGAAACTCCCGTGTGCTCCGTAGTTTGACACTGTGCGCAGAGGTTAGAGTCAAGCGTCTCACACACTGTTAATTTATTCAAAATTGTCAACTATGGCAAAGTTGCAGACCGATTTGCGAAATTACTACCCCCATTAAGAGACTTCCCCGACTTATATAACCCTGGTAATTACGCCACTCATAATTTTACCCCCTTCCCACTTAACTCTCCCCTCTTCAGCTCAGCTTTTGCTTTCCCTTATTTCCCTGGACTTGCTTGTTGGACTATGCTTATCGTAGAACCTAAAGTAGACAGTGCCGGTTGCTCGTTATTTTGCGANGGGGGGGGGGGGGGGGGGGGGGCAGGACTTAGCGCAAGCCAACCCTTAACTTGAGCTAAACGCTTTCGTGGGAATAAATAGTCTTAGCTTTAAAATTTGAGGATAGAGCTGCCTCGTAAATGTGGAGTTATTTATGTGCTGAAAGCGGAATAGTCGCAAATATCGCCTTGCTGGACTTTTTTGAATGACTCAACGAGTATGAGGATGTTTAAGCAAAAATGAGCTACATTTAATCCCTTGATAACGATTTTGAATTTCAAAAAATGCCGATACACATGTTTGCTTATTTAAATGGGGATATCGACGGGGTAAAGTCGGCAATCACATAACTCGGTTTGCGACGTCGCAGACTTCCTATCATACTTCATTTTTTAAACGGAAAACTACTCAAAGGCAATTCTTTAAAACTGCAGTGATTTTTCTTCTCCGTGCGAGGAAAATCTTGCAAGAACTTCAAGGAATGATGACAATTCGTTCTTCTTTAAAATAATAACATAGAGATGGAGATTTTCAGACACCGCAAACGAGTTATGCGATTCCAGACTTACACCGGCGATATACTCTATGCATACCTTAACTGGGGTCCCTCCGCCCCCCAACACAAAAAAAAAAAATGTGCGTGGCTCAAGCATGAAGATTATTGAATTTGCCGTCAAGATTTTTTTATCTTGATTTAGCTGAATTTTCCTTGATTCGAGACAAATAATGCTTGAGTGAAGCCAAAAAGTAATAATAATATAATAAACTGCAATTTTTTTGATTTTAGAGGTCTCTTGCTCAGACACATTATCGTTCGACTTCCAGCTCAACATGCCCTTTTGAACTCCACAGCTGCTTGATAAAAATAGCACGACGATGACTAAGGTTATTTCATCAGAATATCACCAGCCGCTTGTCGCGTTTGACCAACATCGCCAGTCATTTCGTTCAGCTACCTCGCAACGCAATGTACCTGTGTGTTGTGTTCTTCCTTATCTGTGGTACGGCTGGGGCCTTTCAGGACTCTAACGAAAATGTAAGTATACCTTAACACTAAAAAACAAGCTCTAATACGTAGGTATTAGTGAAATGCTCAGCGGTCAGCGCGACTTTTAAGAGTTTAACAAAATCAATTTACTACCTATTACCTTTGTACGTTTAAAGTTGCAATAATAAAATTCAGTACTTGTTTTGTTTATACAGATATTAATAAAAAGATATTAAAAGGAGCTTCGCCCCCCCCCCAAATAAAATAATCACTGAATTGAATGCACAAACAAATCATTGATTTGTCATGGGAACAGAAAAAATTATTATTAAAGTTAAAAAAGAGACGACGTCTTTGGGTAACGCAAACATTTTTTACATTGCGAATGGAAGGAAGCACTTTTAGGATAGGTACGCTTTCAGGCTAAAGATTCAATATTATAAAGAGCGATACCTACCCCGTCAAGCCTATGAGATGCGAGACGGGAAGCCGAGACTCAAAATTCAGGTACACGCATTCCCCTGCCCTGGTTTCGGCCTCGTGCGTAATGCACGGTGTGCCTAAACGAGTTAAACATTTTTTATATGTCCAAATCTAACATTCTTTATATTGTTTAACTACAGTACAGTGTTTATTGAGTCGTTTAAGCCAAAAGAAAAAAAAATTCCGTCGAGATTCTGGAAAATAAAGGTGATTTAAAAGTATTCTGGGGCTATAATAGCTGAATCACCGGTAGTAAAACTCGTTATATTATTAAAAAAAAATTTACTCCATAGTTTAATGTCTTAGTTTCTTGAATACGATTATTTTAAGCACTCGAACATTTATACCACCAATTTTAGCCATGGGGTGATTTCCTGAGAGCCGAAAATATCACGAATTTCTCATTATAGAACCCTTCAAAAATGGCTTGCTTTTTCGGCAGCCGATTCGGCCATCGAACCGGGGTTTAAATGGAAGCTGATAATAGCACAAAGCTCTGAGAAAAATTTTGAGATAAGTATAGGAACGGTTTGTAAATAACGAGGAGAGGCGGGTAAAGCGGTTAAAATCCAATCTAATTTTTACCGTTTTTCTGTTGAATTGATGTTGCCGCCAATACTTCTCTATAACCGTAATTGCCAAGTCTATTGGAATGTTGGTAAATAATGGCATAACATGTAATGAGGCCAACTTATAATTCTCTGGAACTTTCCGGTGTTTTATAAATTCTCGAAGATGAAATGAATCCTTTATGTATGATCTTGTTTTACCAACTACTTTCGATAGCACACCGCTTAGAAACTTGGACATTTTGTAAAACGGGGAATTCATATTACTAACAGTAGGTATGCGTGGCTCACCTGGTTTGTGCAGTTTTAGCCCATAAATTTATGGGAACACTGTATTCCATTGTGTTGAGCCATTCTATCGTTTGTTTCAAGATGATGTCCCGTTTATACCAATTTGTTACCATGGCGTTATTTTTTAGCTGTTGTGTATTTGATAGGTCCCTTGTTATTTTTTTATGAACGGTGTAAGGCGTTCCATTTTTTTTATGATAATCCCCTACATCCATAATTACAGTTTCACTGCTTTTAGCTGCTTCAAGGACGATCAAATCCTTGTTAAGTTGTAAACATTTTTTGGTGTCTCTGAAGTTCTCTTCTAACTCATCACAGAAAACTAATACTCCAAATTCCTTTCTTCCTTAACTCCACTGTTGGTCGCCCTCAGAAAATTATTTATGCTGTCCACCTTTTGAGTACGAGCTTCCTTCCAGGCACCTATTTGTTCAAAATAGTTTTTGGTTTCAAAATTTGCTATTATACTATCAATTCGGTACATTTTTGCAATCTGAAACGTTTCAGAAAGAACAATACAATAAGGCTGAAGGCATGATGGTATGTTATTGAGATGTATATATTTATATATCTGTTTATTTATGTATGTATTTCCGACTCATCGTGGTTCTTTCGATTTTTGCTGTGTTATATATTTCCCTTATTTTCAAAGTTTTGAGGGTAAAACATTTTGCGATGTGAGGTAGAGGAATAGGACAATGCGAAAAAAAAACCGAGATCACAGTCTTAGATATCAAATGGTGGGGGCAAGAAGTGGGGGGAGATTCAATTTTATGGTCGCAATAACTCGCGCAAATTACGAGATTTTCCCCCGAAATTGAGGTAGATCTTACTAGGTACTAAGCTGGTATTGAATTTGAGCGAAATCGGCCGCGTCGTTTAAAAATGGCGACCTTTGAAAGTTTTAGCCGTGGGGGTTGCGCGGCTAGAGGGGAGCAGGGCCGCACAGTGGGTCACGCACTGAAAATTAGTGGACAAGACGGCAATTTAGTCGCACAGTGGGTCACGGACTGAAAATTTGAGGGCAAGACGGCAATGTTGTCGCACAGTGAGTCACGGAGATTGAGTCATCGTCATCGCCATTCAAGCTTGACACATCGTTCATTGAAATTTTTTCGTATCTGACATTACATGAGGGATTTTAATTGCAATCCGGTGACATGCAGTCATTCAAATAATCAATTCCGCCAACAGTGTAAACGGAAAAATAACCTCCAAAGATTGATCCCCACCCCTTCGGAAAATACACTAAAAATTCCCGCGGTAGACGCGCGGGTCGCTTAAAAAAGTAGAACAACTGAGGCCGGATAACCAAGTAAAAAACGCGCGCGAAGCGCTCGTCAGGGCACAACGGCGCAGGGCGCCGTTTTTTAGAATTAATAATTAAAACATTTATTTTGATGTGTTTTGAAGGATGGTCTGACTGGTCTAAGGCCCTTGGGGACGGCGAAAACAAACCACAATGTAAGTCTAGATGAATTAAATTATAAGAATCATTCACTTTCAAGGAATATTTGGATTAAATAGAGAAAGAAATAATTTCGTTACAAACACAACTTTTATCCGACAAAAAGTGACATAAACGCAAAACTATCTGATGTATGGATTTCGGTAAGTACTTAAGACGTTTTGAAAAGTGTTTTTATTTTTTATTGAGATTCTCAACTTCCGAGCCCCTAAGCGGCCCTGTATATGGGTGATTTCCCGATACCAGGAATACCTAGCTAAAATGTGCGAAACCTTAAATTTAAAAATGCACGAATTTTGACCAAATGTCATTACTTAATTTCAAAGGTATTAAATTTCCTTTTTAAATGTTGGACCTATTTTTGGAGTTTGTGCTTCATGTTTATTGAAATTGCAAAATTTGGCCAGAAAATGTTAATTTTTTATTTGACTAAAACCAGTCAATGCTTATTTTCCAGCGACATAAAAACGACAAAATACGGAGATTTAATTTCTTTTAAAAGAAATTCAAGATTCATCAATGAGAAAGGTGCGTTTCATCCTGTATGCAGGTTTGCCAAAAACTTTTAAGCAGGAACAAACATGCCCTCCGCGCGGAAGATGATTCTTGGGAGGTCTAGATTTCATATGGGTGTACTCTTTACTAACTAATTAGGATAGGAGTTATGTTTTCTTCTGTTCGCAAAATTTTCGTGAAAAATTCTTTAAATTTTACTTTGTGTACTTGTTTACCGATGGATTTGCACAAAAGTCAATACTCTGGTGGTTTTTGGCTCGAAAAAAATTAATCTTTCATTCGATTTTTGAAACACTGAATATCGTCAAAATGGTGGCGGAAAAATAACGGAAAATCCGCATCCATCATCGCCATTCGCATTTTTGCCGCCATTGTAAAGTTTTTAAAAATTTCAAAAATCCAATGAAAGATTTGTCTTTCTCGTGCCAAAATACCCCCGGATACCAAGTCTCATACAAATCCGACGATTAGCTAGCGGCCGCCATTTTGTCAAAAGTAAACACTTTGACCAGCGGTTTGCGCCAAAAATTTTATTTTTTTATTATCTTTCTAATGAGGTATCACAAAAGGGGGGTTGCCATTTGAAAAAAAAGTTAGCCCCCGCCCCCCTTAGGGGGGCCGCCCCCCAAAAGTTTGAAGAACCGAAAAGTTGCTACCTGAAACCGAGGAACATTCCCAAAGTTTCAAACTTCTATCTCAATTAGGAAAAAAATTACAGGGGTGGTCAGTGACTTTTGGATAACCCTCTATAACCTTTTAGGCACTGAATCAAAATAGAGCGCGCCAAAGCTGGAAAAAGGAAGTTTGATACCTTTAAAACGAAGTAATGAAATTTGGTTAAAATTGCTGCTTTTTCATTGTAAAGGTGTTGCTAATTTTAGGTATTCTTGTCATCGTGAAATCACTCATATAATAAATGTAGTTGTAGTAGGATAGCTGAATGATATTAATAAATATTATGTTACAAAAGTAGTAATTAAAAATGTGTTTCAATGCTCTATAAGGCGCAGGACGAAAAACACAGGAGATTTCAGGAACAGGCAAAAGCCCTCGCCCAGATTAGCGATCCCTTTAATCGGGAAAGATTAATTTATATTCAATTACTACAACTTAAAGACGCGCAGGAAGAGTCATTAAAACTGAAAGAAGAAAACGTAAGTAGTCATTTTTATGTATAATTGGACAGACGAGTTTGTAAAAGATGAAGAACTGGCTGTAAAAATACTTACCTAATCAAATTTATTTCAATGCCCTCCTCAGTAGGATAGCTGAATGATATTAATAAATATTATGATACAAAAGTAGTAATTAAAAATGTGTTTCAATGCTCTATAAGGCGCAGGACGAAAAACACAGGAGACTTTGGGAACAGGCAAAAGCCCTCGCCCAGACTAGCGATCCCTTTGATCGGGAAAGATTAATTTATATTGAATTACTAAAACTTAAAGACGCGCAGGAAGAATCAGTAAAACTGAGAGAAGAATCAGTAAAACTGAGAGAAGAATCAGTAAAACTGAGAGAAGAATCAAAAAGAACTGAAGGAAATCTGAAAGAAGAAAACGTAAGTAGTCATTTTTATGTATAATTGGACAGACTAATTTGTAAAAGATGAAGAACTGGCTGTAAAAATACTTACCTAATCAAATTTATTTCAATGCCCTCCTCAGGTAATGATGTTAATATTTTAAAACCAATTTAAAGCCTTACCTGATAACTCTAGTCATAAGCTTAAAGGAACAGAGGGTTTTGTCTGGAAACTTAATTTAAATAATCAAGATTCTCATTTGACAGTTACCAAAGCTCTCAATGATCAAAGATTTATCATGGTATACCCATGAAAGTATGCAAACACGCGATCTGCGTGTCATATGTGTAAGGGTTTGCATCCCACTACCTACGCCTATCCCAGATATAATCGAATCACCAAAGGAAAAGGATTCCAGCATTAAAAATAGCGTTAAGCAAGATTTTTAAAAAAAGGGAGGCAACAAATAAAGTTGTTCAAACACATAGATATACATCACAGGGAATATTGAATTCCTTTATGAGATTTCCATAGAGTACAATAGAGTCGCAATGTACTGGAGCGCCAATGAAGTCAATCCATGAACGGGCCTTTCCGAGCCGCTTGTGCTCCGAAAAGTGTGATATTTCCAAAGTTTCAAACTTCTATCTCAATTAGAAAAAAAGTTACAGGGGTGATAGGTGACCTTTGGATAACCCTGTATTTATTCAGTTTCACTTTCTCACGAATGCTCACAGATAAGATTACAAGAGGAAATATCCATCATTCTCGCCGGGAACATAATTGAAAAATTGGAAGAGACATATGGAAAACAATTCGGAACAGAAATCGATAGAGGAGAACGATGGACCTTGATGATGGATTTGAACGATCCGCCTATGTTATTCATGTCAAAAACAGCTAATGATAAAGGGGTAGGTATTGATGATTTGGCAGAGATTGTAAAGAAAATAATGAGAATCAGGGATGAAAAGGTGCATGATCAGATTCTGGAGCGAAAATTTCCGAATATTTGTGAAAGTTTTCGTAAAGACCACTTGCATGTGTACAATGGTTGGTAGGTGTGTTAGAAAAGGCCTACGAAATTATGTTGAAACAAAAAGAGTTGCAAGAAAAAAAGTTGAGAGAAAAAAAGTTGAGAGAAAAAAATTTGAAAGAAACTGAGTTGAAAGAAACCAAAAACAATCATGAAAGTCTACGTAGTGAGACCAAATAGATGAAACATTATAGCTTCTGAAATAATGATTAAATCATTTTTTTTGTACAGAGGTTCATTTTTGAAGTTGGTCATCTTCTGTTTGTTTAGAGACTGAAAAGTCTAGTAAAAAATGATAAACATGTTTTCCTGATAATTTTCAAATAAATCTAATTTTAATTTTGCCTCCGTTCGTAACCACTGAAGCTCATCAAGAAGTTGTATATTTGGTTCAGAATCAGCTTTGTTTAACTTCCCAATCAGATATAAGTTTTTCAATGAATTTGTCCGACTTAGAGCTACATACAATAAACTGGTTGTTTTAAATCTTATTGCGTTATAATGGACACATACTATTTCATAAGTGCTTTCGTGTGACTTATGTATAGAAATTGCAGCCGCTGGAGTTATAGGAAACTGTTTCCGTGTCACTGTTATATTGTTTTTATAATTATTTTTAGTGTTACTTCATGTCTCTTGATTGGTACACTATCTACTTCATTTGTAGTAGTCAATGCGTGATTAAAATGTGGAGATGTAATCCTTTTTGCCGCACTTCCTATTGAAGGATCTTCAAATTTAAAATAAAGTTGTGTTGGAATGTCATTCTCCAGTTTTTTTGAAATCAATTTTCCTACAGATCCATTTACGAGTCCATTATTAATATCTAAATTTTTATGATCATGTACTGACTGAATCACAATGGGCCTTTTTTCGAGGCTCCTTTAGAAATGAATTGCCGGATCAATTTGTTAAAGTTCTCTCAGAATAGAGACGGGATAGTAGCAGAGCCCGTGTAGAAATGAAAATCTAAATTCATCATAGAGAACGAATGGAGAAAATAATATACATACATAAGACCGCCTTTATAGTGCCGCCTCGCGCTCTGCGACGCCCAATCGCCATTGCCCCCTATCCTCCCAGAGATCATCAGGCAATTGGCACCTTCTGATCTCCTCCTCCACCCCTTGTCGCCAACCTTTCACAGGACGTCCACGCCGTCGCCTTCCGGGAGGAACCCAATCGAAGACCTGCTTGGGCAACCGGTCGTCTGCCATCCTTCGCACATGTCCATGCCAGACCAACTGCTTGGACCTGATATCGTGAACGATGTCCTTCTCCACACCCATTATCTCACGTACCTCTTCATTGCGGATACGCTCTCTTCTCGTTATCCCAGCAGACCTTCGCCAAAAGTCCATCTCAGTTGCCCTAAGCATGTCTTCAGTTCTTTTCTTGAGTTCCCAGACCTCACTCCCGCATGTCACGATACTCTTCACGATGACGTTGTAAATTTTTCTTTTGGTCTCCTTGGTGATACTCTGGTCCCAGAGAACCCCATTTAGCATCGCGATAGCTTTCTTGGCTTGCACATTCCGATCATTGATGGCCCGATCCAAATTTCCGTCCTTAGTTTACCAAACTCCTAGATATTTATACTCTTCACAGTCCTGAATTTTCACAAGGTATGCGTTTAAGAATAGTGTGCTTCTTCTTCAACATTTTAACTACGCCACCCAAGGCTCAAAACGTGATTTTCTCGTTTGAGAGAGGTCCCTAGTTGCCCTCCTGAGTGCTGGTCTGATTATTTTAATTTGGGCGTATACCATAGCCAACAAATGGATGTCAGGTGGGACAGCCAAGCCACCGTTGGGTTGGGCTCCTTGGCAACCAAGGGGTTGTTGGTCTTCTTGGNGGGGGGGGGGGGGGGGGCAGCCTGAGGGTTGGTGTAATGATTAACAATTGGTTTCGGTAATCATGTTATGAAGTTGACGGTTGAGATAATAATTTCGGCACCAGTCAATCTTTTTGAGTCAGGATTGACAAACTGACTAAGGAATGTTCGATAAAGGATAAAACAAGAGTTTGAGACGAAATAGCTTGTATTGACGTGATGAAGGCACATATCACAGATTTCACAAATTAAATGTCACTAAGTTACACAGCGTTAAAGTTGAAGTGAAGAGTTGCACTACTGCTGGAATAAAACCGATGAGAGAGAGAGAGACACGGGTCGTGGGTCGTAGGGATGTTAAAGACCAGAGAGAGAGTTACACGTTTACGTTTCGTGGGTCATGGGGATGGTAAAAGACCTTAGAGCGAGGGACATGAGTCCGGGTCACAAAGATGGAAAAAAGACCTAGAATCTCGGGCAGCACAAGCTTTTATAGACTTGCTGACGTCACGGGTGGTGAGACAACAAGTCTACACGCTATTGGCTGGCTATAATCTATGTAGGTATCAGTTGCAAGTCTAGTAATTAAAATAAGTGGTGATTCAAGGAGATGACTGGAGGATAGGGTTGAAAAAGACTGAAACTGAACGAAATCCAGCCATCTGAAGTGAGTTAAAGAAAATGTTTAAGAGATTTATAAGTTTGAGAAAAGGACAAGTTACTGGTATTTCAATACCTGTGACAGTTGGATTGCTTGGATGTCAGGTGGGGCAGCCCCCGGTGCGTTGGGCTCCTTGCTGCCAAGGGGTGCGGGCCCTTGGTTTTGGGCTTCTTGGATGCCGATGGGGGCAGCCCCCGTTGGGTTGGGCTCCATGGCAGCCGAGGGGTGCACCCCTGAGGGGTTGGGCTCCATGGATGCCAAGGGGGGCAGCCCCCGGGGGTTGGACGGCTTGGATGTCAAGGGGGCAGCCCCCGGTTGGCTTGGCTCCTTGGCAGTCGAGGGGTGGAGCCCCAGGGGATTGGACTTCCTGGGTTCCAGGTTGGGTAGGTAGGGCAAGGGGGGGATGCCCCTGGGGGTTGGCCCTTTTGGAGCCAGGTGGAGCACCCCCGGAGGCTGGGCTATGTGGTTGCCAGGTGAGGCACCCCCGGAGGTTTTGCTCCCTTAAAATTACGTATCACAGTGCTGAAATTCGTACCTTGCTGCCCGGGTCAATGATTTGCCTTCAATTAGGCGGGTATGCAAAACGACTGTCGTGAATAGTTGTATCAGAATTTTGCATCAAGATTATGAAGTCGGTTGAAGGCGCTCTCCTCTTTTCAAAGGTGGCCCTGTTCAGGTATGTTAATCAAGAATGTTCCTTACGTGTTCCAAAAGTGTTAAATCGCGAACTGAAGTTTTGAAAAATGCCCTATGAACATTTTTTTGTGTTCTAAGATTTTTTTTTTTTGTCTGTAAGTCTTATTTCAAAAAAGAGACCCTAAATTCTCGGTTCAGATTGTGGTTTTTAAGTCTTTTTGCTTTAATTGATCATGGTATCATGATGAATAAGTGAGAGAGTCGCCGTTTCCAAGATCGCAACTTACTCCAAAGCGGTTGTGAGATCAATAAGTTTCGCACGGATAAAATGAGTTTTCGTCGATGATCTATGAATATTCAAAATTAAAGAAAAGGCACTTTATCCGCTAGCTGGTCCATTTGAAAGGCGTAGAGCGTGGATGTCCTCCCGGTTTCCACGGGCACCATACCGTATATATGTCGAAAGCAAACAGTCAAATCAGGCATTTGCTCAAATACCTAGGCAAATGGTCAAATATTCTTACTTATATATTGAATTTTTGACTCTTATCCTAATTTTACACAAAATAATTCGTTGCTCCTGACAGAAAGAATTTTCTGTAAAAATATGCAGCATCAATAGTATATGTACTTCAAACGATTCTAAGATCCTGAATGCACACTTTATTCATGGAATGTTCAGCATGTCATTAAAAATTGAATTTTTAAAATATGAACATATAAATGTACTAAAGGCATGTAAGGAATTTTTCATGCGAAGTTGGCGAATTTAAAGAATTGTTTTTCCCAAAATATTGAAAACCCGTGAACTCCTTGCCATAAATTTACAGAATTCCGTAAGCTGTCAAAATTTAACTACCGGCCTAGGCATTTGATAAAATGCCTGATTCAACTATTTGCCGTCGACGTATAGATGTCTGTAGGTTTCTAACGGTATATACTGCCGTGCAACGCAAAAACGCCGTAAACGCCATTATAAAGTTTTTGGAAACAATGTATCATAGCAAAAAAACATGTGTATTTTGGGAGAATGTTTTTACAGAATGTTTTCTCAAATGCTATCAAGAACTGAACCTGAAAATTTGAGGTGCATAGGTAAAACAGTTTTTATTTTCTTAAGTGTTAAGTTGCAAGAAGTGCGGCAAAATCTTAATGGACTCACGGCGATCTTGCTTAGCACGGCAGTATAATTATGCCAAAGTGTTTTAGAAAGGGCCTATATAATTTTTTGAGAGTCCAAGCAGAGACGATATATTCTAGAGACTCCGCACTGTCTTCTTACCTATGCTGTAAAAGTTACTCAAGAAAGCCAATTTTCTGATTCATTTATTGATGATTTATGCTAGAACGTAATTCGAACGACGCAAATTGAAGATTGCAGCAATCAACCCTTACCAAAATATTGAGTTTCCCGCTCACAAGAAAAATAGAGTCTATACGTGAGTCAAATCGCGTACAACATCGCTTTTGGCGCATAGGCTTTCTAACAGTTTCGTGAGTCAAGCGTAAGTTGTAGAAAAAACAGCTGAGCCGAGGTTGAGGTTGTCAAATTTTCGTATCACAGAGGCCATTACGGTAACATTTAGCGTGCGATTTAACTCAATAAGCACCAATTAAAGTACCAGAGTTGAAGGGACATTGACCTTTTGACGAACTTTTTCGGTTACATGTCGTTCGACGGTATGAACGAAGCGCAATCGGAATAGTGGGTCAAAAGGTCTTCCTTCACTATGGCGCTTTAACCTTGCGATCTCCCTGGACTAGTTTTAAGTCACACTTTGGAGATTTTTCTCCTTTCTGTTTCATTCGGGAGAAATGTTCCGGGCGATTGACACAATGACCTACCGATCATTTTCTCTTCAATTTATGGGTCATCCCCTTGTATGACGTGGAGCTGAAATATAGGGTTGAGACTGTTGAGAGGTCAAAGGTTCCTTCGACTCAGGCACTTTAACATGTGGCCTTCTTGACAATATTGCGACGTGCAACATAGATCCTTTCAGTTTAAATACAGCCACTTAAAAAGTATTCATGTCTTTATAGGTAACAATGTTGGTATCTGTACATGGATATTTTAGAAAATCATCATAATGTACCGATCTGCTGAAAATAATGAGATTTTTTAGAATTAGGGTAAGTTACAGTTTATTTCTGACGGGCGTGTACAAAGCATAAAGAAAATCAATTGTTGAAGATAAAAAAGGATATGTTCTAACTGGCCATACATTTTGTTACGAAGAAACACTCTCTCGCTCATTTAAAGCACTTTTGCACACCATTAGTTCACCTACGTGGGTAGGTGTTTCTACGGATGAACATGAAATGAAGGTGATTTAGTGCAAAATGAAGTCCGACCGGCTAGTAATGGTTAATATTGGAACATTTTCTAGAGTATGAAACATACGTGGGAAGAAAACGTTTCTGATCGCAAATCCTCGCTATAGGACATCTAAACGTTTCGATCGAATTGACTGCAAAGTGGTGATTTCATCCTTCCATCTCCCGTTACCAGGCGTGACCAATATTGACCTTTATACATAAAAAACTGCAAAAAACCCCAAAAAACTTTCAGATTCTAAGGGGTAAAGAATCCGGCCAAAGTCTTAAACTTGTTGAACCAAATTTTCTTATTACTCCTAAAAGAAAATTAAAAATTATACTTTACTGAAAATCGAATGTGGGGCCCCTTCATAAACGACTGATACAACATTCACTGCATGTGTGTATGTGAACCTCTTGTAGGAGCCCAAGCGGTTCGCTCTTTGCAGCAAACGCTACATTCGTAAATGGAAAGTCCTTGAAGGAGCACCTAACGTCCTCTTTCTTTATTTAACTTTTGCATTTTTTATTCAGAATCTTCATAAAATCAAAAAGAAAAGTATGGACTGATCTGAGCCTTATATGTGCTCTAAAACAATATGAAATATTTTATCGCACGAAGTCGAATATTTTTTCTTTAAAATTTAGAGCTACGTAACTAATTCAATAATCATGACTCGTGCCATTTTCCAGTTGCCTCCTATGTCCATCGCTTTGTCTATCAATGTCAATAATCAGGTGACAGAGCTACAGAGTCTTCCAGAACCGAGATACGTTCAACTTTCAAGAGCGGGACCTCATATGTCTCGAGACGGTGCCAACATCTCGAACGAGGCATCTCAGATCCTTGCAGGTGGCGCGAGGAGCCTGTGTCACGCCATCAAAATATCGAGGTCAAGTGTTGTGATTGGCTTATCCGATGACTTGGACCAATCACAGCACTTGTTTTAGATGGCCTCCACGGGGATGTTGTTGAACTTTCTGATGATGAGGACCGGGAGGTGCGGCGAGTAAGCGACCACGATCATGATCGCTGGACTCAACAGGAGGAGCAGGGAGACGTAAACAGCAAGCAGCCACAGGATCATCTCGAGCCTTCTGAAACAAGCATTGTATATTGTCAATCAGCAGAAAGTAGTAGTCTCTACTCGGGAAAATATCCATGGCTTGTCTTGCAGACAAATATTATATCAGAAGAAAATTCGCGTGATGCTGATGTTCGTGTAACGTCCTTTTTGGACACGGTAGCGTGCGTTGAAAAAAAAATGGTAGAATTTACCACTCCTTCACGCTGTATTTCACACAACACGAAGAAATGGTAAACCAAGCCAGATTTAATCGGGAACTTTTATTTTTTACAAGAGAAAGTTTGTGTGGATTCCTTTGAAAATTTTACGCAATTTGCTTCGTACCATGCAGAAAATTCACTAAAATTTGCACAAAATTCCGCACAACCGTTTTCATGTAAAAAATTAAATTGCCCAATGGACCACTAGACAAGGTACGAATTTAAGCATTCTGATACATGGATCTTAACCAGAATTTCACGTAGAACACGATTCGCGCAACGAAAATTACTGAAACCAACTCCTAACGGACATATTAACATTTTTATTTCACATTGGTTACGAGGAATTTGAACTGCCCGCTCACCAGAAACTCAAAGCTCTACGTGAGTCAAATCGCGCACCACAACGGTTTCAGCAAGCTTCTCAATCGAGCAATGTTCATTTCCCACCGTGTGTTTTTCAAACTATAGGTAATTTGCTATAGCTGAGCCAAATTGTCAAGATTGAGGTTGCCAGATTTTTACATCGCAGAGACGTTCGTGATAGCGTTTAGCGCGCGATGTGAATCACGTAGAGCACTGAGTTTTCATGAGCGGGTGGTTTCAATTCACGCACCAAGAATCATTTAATCTCTTCGGAAAGAGTTGTTTTCTGTAATTTTCGTTGTGCACATCGTGTTTTACATGAAATTTTGGTGGAGAAACATGTATCAGAATGCTGAAGTTCGTACCTTGTCTAGTGGTCAATTACATTTGGCAATTCCTGATGTGGCTTGGTTCTTTTCTGCTTAACGCGGTTTGTACAATGATGAGAAGACTAATACATACACACAGTACACGCGAACAACTGGACTTCATTTTGCAATTTGGAACTATAAATTCTGGCTCTTCTAGAAAAACACTTATGTGTATAGGGAAACTAATGGCACATACGTTGTTTTTAAACCGGGCTATAATTTATAGTTCCAAATTGCAAAATGTAGTCCAACTATGCGATGCTGAAACGCCTTCATTTTTTTTTGCATGCAATATACATTCTCATGAAACACGAATAGTTGCACTTAAGTGCTATTTGTAACTGGCGGCTGGCAGCCTCTGGGCAGATTGTAACTTAAAGTTATTAACTGAAATCAGCCTTGCAGTGTTCTGGCGTGCTGAGGAAAAACGCCGCATGAACCTTCAAGCGTTGCCAAAGTTTTTTCGATAAAACAAGCATTTTCTGGTTAACATATGCATATGTTTATTGTCATTTTTAACGAAACGTTGTTTGCAATTTTACCTAAAGTTCGCGCAAAGAAGGACAAATACTCATAATTTTCTTCAATAATAAATCCTTTATCGTAAGAAATTTGACAACCCTCGAATGTTCATGCGGTGTTTTTCCTTAGAACGGAAATATTAGACGTTGCCCCGTTTTATTTTATTTTCTTTTTTCTTATTCTTTTTTTGGAAATTGGACAATACTCTGACTTGAATTTTTGCTGCTTTTTTTTTTTTTTAAAAGTAGCGAGGTAAATGTTGTTATTTTTTTCGTAATTTACTATAAAATATGTGACACTTCAGAAAATTTTAAAACCGTAGCAACAATTATTTAAAGGTGGAAAAAAGACACGCCGCGCCCTGCGGGGAGATTGTAAGGGAAAATCGGCAAAATCGCTCGACGTGGCCTCTTTGATGGGGATAAAAGAGCATTTTAAACTAAGCTATGTAAATTTCATGATTTTTCTCGTAAAGTACTCTAAACAGTGTATAACCTCTAGAAATTGCAAAGCCGTAGGAACATTTCAAAGGGAGGAAAAAAATTCGCGAAATGACGAAAAAACGCGTCTTCGCACGCCACGCTTGGAACTTTAGGCTCTTTGAGACGCGTTTTACAACATTTTTTTCTCAATTTTTATTTTTCCCCCGTTATTTTCTCATCAAATGAAACCATTTGCAGGGTTCCGCACTTTAAACTCCGTAAATTCAAAAATAAGGGCCACCCTACGCGAGTAACCTCTTCTAAAATAGCAATGTTGACCGTTTTGGCGCCAAAAACCGGTACTTTACGTGGGGCGCAAGGACTCGATCGACTTGAAACCTTTTCTGACGATACTAGGGCATACTTCTTGAAACATTGAAACCAAAAATTAGAGATTTTAGTGTTACTATCTTGATAGCGTGCGAGTAAACCGTTGCCAAAAGAGCCATTTTAACCGTTTTGGCGCCAAAAAAACCATTTTTTCGGTGGGACGCACCACGCGTGAAGGCTTTTTTTGGTAACAACTGGGTATATTACCTACATTTTAAATCAAAAACAAAAAATGTATGTGTCCTCATTTTTTTTAAAACCGCTAAAATCTGAAAAAAATTGGAAATCGACAATTTTTACGAATTTTTTTAGGGGTCTAAATAACGTACGATAAATTTGATTTTTTTATCCAAGAATCTGACTGGTCTGATGTGTAATTGGTGCAATTTTGGTGCATTTTGATCGAAAAATGTGGGAGATATGAAATAAAGCGTGAAAATACCCCGAAATTCCCCGAAAAACCCATTTTTCGGGGATTTTCGTGGTTGGGGTCAGGAGGGTAAAATTGCCCAAAACCATGTTTTTAGGACCTCCTGAAAGGGTTTAGACCATTAAATTCAAAATCCGTGAGGAGGGGCATTTTGGTGCCCTTAACCCAGGGATACCCTTTGGCTCTTCTGTAGGTATACGAGAGGGCTCAGTAACTTCAGTGAGAGATATCTATTGGAAGTATTTTAATCAAACAGATTTACAGGTGAGAATTATGGGGTGTGCTCGTCAGTTCTCTCGCCAGTGACGTCAACGGAAATGGATGCCGTCGTCGCGGCTCCTCGTAGTGCACTTTAACTCATGAGCCCTGTCCACAACGCTCTCGTCCCATGCCCGCGGCTCATATATCCCGCACTCAGTTGCCACATAGTTCTGCTTGCTCAATTTAGAATCCCGATTTTCCATTTCACCAAAAGGAATCACGCCCACTTTTACATGGTTTCTTATCATGCTTTTTACAGCTGCACACCCCATATTTATCACCTGCACGTAATTCTGTTTGATAGTAATACATCCAATTGTTAGTCGGACGTAATTACACATTAATCTCTGATCATCGAATGCATCAAAGTTACCGTTACGGCCATCCGATGTTTGTGATATGATCCCAGATTTTCATTGCCGTGAAGCAAACCTTAAAAACGCCAGAAATCTGTAGGAGTGTTAGGAAACATAGCAGCCGAGGAAAATGTTCGATCAAAGAAATTTAACGTTTACATGGTAAAATTACCGGACATTCAGATGTTTAATTCGTCGGGAAGATGCTGAAAATATCATACTTTGAGAGAAAGGGAGAATTTCGGAAATTATTCGAAAAACTTTCATGCAATGATATCATCGATGGAAATGCCCGGAGAAAGACCATTAAAACGAAAAACCAGTGCTATACAAAGCAGAATCCATTAATTGGTGCGAGGCGAATGGCTAATGAAAGGAAGTAAGGTTAACGATTCGGGTCGATATCTCAATTTTCGGACGAAGTCAGTGACATAGTATCTGGAATCCATCCACAAACCAAATTTTCACCTTCTGAAATACCGGGTTGCACTATATTTCATTAACAAGGACCCAATTCTAAGGGTGAAAAGCACAAAAAAGAGTCCGGCGTCGATGGTTTTCAAGGATTTGGGAAAAACTAATGCCTCTTTAGTTTTAATTTTGGAAAAATATTCAGGCGTGGTATGAGCCGAGTCTAGAGTGGATTTACGTGCTAGCGAGTGAACTACCTGCAAAAATTACCTATACCGTGATACAAATATTTCAGTGGCGTGGTGTGCATTGGAATACGTCGATTGATCAGCTATTCAAACTAACGAAAAATGATCGATATACAGGGTGTTTGCAACGAACACCTTAATAATCGATTCTTTACCATAGCTTCAAAAGGAAGATGGAGAAATATCAACAATCGATCATTAATCGTAACTGAAATATTTAATTGCCTCAAACCATTTGATAGCTTAAAATTATTTTGTGTGCAAATTTTTAAGCTATCACAGCGAGAGACTAATGGGCTATACAGTTTCCAAACTGAAAACAAATTGGTAGAAGTTATCTTCATGGGAGGTAAGCCATTTGATAAAAATAAAGAAATAAATATAATAAAATAAAGAATAAGGTTAAAGACATCAACCTAGTCACCATTTTTCTGCGAAAAAACGAATTTTCTGAAATCTGTTGAATTCCGTCGTTCTCAAACCAAACGATTCACTTGAAAATGGTCAGCAACTTCCAAGAACCTAAGAATTCTGATTTAGAGTCTGCATTCTTACGTAATTTTAAGAATTCTATTTATTCTATTTACATACAAACGTCAACCGTCATTTTAAATAATAAAGAGTTGAAAAAATGGCCCTGTCATGCTGATACATACTATGAACCCCTTTCATATCATAAGTTTAATGGTGATGGGATTTTTAAAAATAATAACAGCAAGCCTGGTAATGAGCATCGTTGGCGTTTATATTGCTTGTAAAAGACTGATTAGCGCAGTGATAGTCTTCATTATTACTTCGGAGATTGAGGTTGACCTTGACCTAACGTTGCATACTCGTAAGAGCTTAAACTTCCGTGGTGGCAGATTATCATCATAGTTACACGTCTTTACAGATGTGATGTTATTTTCCTTTTCTTTATGTTTCTACATGTTTGCTATAATTTAGTGTCCAGTGCGACGTGGCGTGATTTGCAAAACATCGATTGATCTGTCCTTGAAAACTATGGAGAAGGATCGGCAAATAGAGTGTTCGCAACAAACAACTTAATAATCGATTCTTTACCATAGCTTCGATGGGGAACTGTCGAAAATCGACCATTCAGCAACTGTTGGTGACAAAAAGGAAGCGGCTCCAATGCAACTTATTTTTACTAGAGACGCTTTTAGTTACCCCAAAAAGGAAATAACTTGCTTTTTGAGGTCTTAGAGTGGTAAGAGGTCTGTTAAAGGCAAAAAATCCAGCCAAGCGAATAAACTTCCTGCAGGTAGAATCGCATAGAAATGACGGGAAACACATGAAAAAAGTCTGCAGCCCACTGTAAGGCGCGAAATTTCCTTAGGTTGAAACAATGCACGAAGCTTATGTCAGTTCGCGAAATTATTTGTTTATTTAAAATCGGTTAAATTTCTTTGCGTTTCTCTCGGTGGAATCCTATTCAACGATACCTATTGCATGATACCGCACTATACGATTCTGTGAAAGCTCGTGTTGCCTACACTAAAAATTGAAGGCAAACTGAAATGAACTTATAGTGACCTCCTCACGTTACGTAAAAAGCTATTTTTCAGCGAGTTCCGAACGAGCGCGCTATTTTTTCTCCTTTATCTACTTGAAGCGAATTTCCGCGAATTCACCATTGAATGACATTCGACGATTGTGCATTTTTTTATTGATTTTCGACTTCTTCCTTGGTCTCACCGGAGACCGTTGAAATCCATCAATTTGAAAATTCGAATTCACCTCCGGACTTGAATTCGATTTTTGAATTGATGCAATCGATGTCAGAAACTCTATCTTCGACCAGAATTTATGTTCCGTCATTTCTCTCTGTTGTTGTGTTTTGTCATTCAAAGTCTGCGGTGTTTGAAATTTGCTGCGTTTTAGTGTTTCGTATTTTCTTCTTAATATAATTTTTTTTAAAAAAAATCCGGACTTCGATTGGCTCCTGCTTTCACCGATCATCGGCATCACTCAGCACTCATCAATTTGTTTGATGAATGATATTCGATCGCGACGATTCGCTTTCAGTCGATCTCTTGGTCAATCAATTTCAATAATCAGCTTGCAGTGCACTCGGGAATTTCTATCCATCAATAAAATTCATGAAAGTTGAGCGCCTACAAATTCCTTATTTCAGCCGACCCATTGCGGAAAGATGTCCTTTCGACAGAAAAAAAATCCGCACATTTCTGCGGCGGCGCGGCGAAGCGGGGCCAATCATCGAGTTGGTCGCGCCTCTTAGTGGCCGCGGTGACGCAACTCATCTTGCTACAGACGCCGACGGATTGCTGCAACGCCGCCAAATTGCCTTTAAAACTCACGGGGCCCCCACGCGGTGACGCCGAGAATCACTGTTTCAACGCACTTTTTGTCAACAGGGCGCATCTCGCGCTCACTGACCTACTGAACGAGAAAGCACCGTCTGTCGTCGGCCATAAGGTTATTAGGAGCAGGAGTGGTCCTCTCCAGCGTGGGCGGCTCCAGCAAGTTGTCAGCATTGTATTCTCTCCATTAAACCTATGCAAATGTATCGATTTCTCGAAGGGTACGGATTCGATCGACAAATTATTGAAAAAACCGGTGTCGATTCAATCCAGAATCGATTAATGGATCGAATAATGAAACCGTAAACCGATCGACATCTGTTAGATCGACAAACCCGTGAGTCCTTCAACAAATCCGTGAGTCGTTCGACAAATCCTCGAATCCATCGACAAATCCTTCAGTCGTTCGACAAATCCGTGAGTCGGTCGAATCACGTCAATCGGTTCACGTATTGGCTTTTCGATGGATTCGTGTCGATCAATTCACGTTCTTGTCTTTCGATCGATTCTTGTCGATCGAATGGACACAGATTTTTTAATAATTTGTCGATCAACCCGGTGTCGATTGAATCAGGTTTTCATTTTTCCATCGATTTATGTCGATCGAAGCCATACCCTTTTCGATCTCGGGGGGTGCTTTGACAAGAATCGATTGTTCAACATTGATTTAAATGGAGGAATGACGTTGTGCCAGGCTCCTGGATCCGCCTGTCTCTCAACCGGTCGGTTGCTTGTACCGCAAAATCGTGTTTTGATGGTTGAATTTCATACATGGGACATGTTATTGCGAGAAGAAACTGCGGACCATGTTTTGCAATGCGGAACCACTATTTCTGGCTTATTTTAGAAACAACACATATACCATGATTGATTTCTATATGCAGAAAGGTGCTTTTAAGGAAGAGCCAGAGATGGAGGTTCCTTATTGCAAAATGTAATCCAAAATCCAACTATGAACGGACGAATCAAATTCAAACGATACGAAGGAAAACTCTCATCTTAGGGGCGTACCGTAATAGCGCAACGAACAATGAGACCGGTTTAAATTTGTTTTAATTTCAATCATTTAATGAACAAAATGTTATGGAAATGATTGAGAAATGTTTTCGGGTAATATAATATTTCATTTGACCCCTTAAAAATGTTATGGTAATGATTGAAATCTATTTTCAGGTAATTTTAGAACACAACTTTGACAGCCTCAGTCCCTAAAAACCTGCCTGATATGTTTAACAAAAAGTGTTTTGGATTATAGTATATGGTATGCTTTTGAAGATGTTTGCAACGAATTTGTGGGCATCAAGAGGGTGCTTTAAATACATGTAAAACCTTTCATTCAAGATTGCTGAACGTTAACAGCAAGTTACGGAATTGTTTTTTTTTATCGTAGAGGTAACATCTTGAAATTTTACTGGTAATATCACTATGCAATACATTGCCGAATTAAAAATCACAGCATGATATTGTCGAAATTTAAGTTTGATGTGTAGAAGAATAATATATCATAAATTCTAAGCTGATATCACCTACTGCCAAATATGCTGTGGCATTTTTTGACAATATTGAATGCAGATGGAATAATTGACGGCTAAAAGCATAACTCATGATCGAATAATTTCTTCATTGAAAACTGGCTGCATGACAAACGTGACAGACGTCGGCAAACTCAGTCCAGAAACTCAGACTGATGCATGAAGAACAGGATGAAATGAAAAGAAGTCTATAAGAATAAGTATGCATGAATTTTATGAGCTAAATGAACTTAATACATATTGATGGCCAAAGTGAAAATACACGTATGTCCACTGCGATGGTTCAAAATTTCCGCTCCTATTATATTTTTTGGAAGAAAAACAAGCCGATTTCATAAGTTGAAATTTATGCAGAATATTCTCCTGGTAGACAAGAAAAATAAGATTCTCTTCACTATTAATTTGGCATATTTTTGAAAAGCTAAACAAAAAATTACTCGTATTTTGCAAAAAATTCTTTGATCAAAATAAAATGAGAAAAAAAGAAAAATAAGAAAAAAGAAAAATAAGAAAAAAAGAAAAATAAGAAAAAAAGAAAACAGAAAAAAGAAAAAAAAGAAGAAAGAAAGAAAGAAAAAAAATCATCGTTTTAAAGTGAAGTTAGCACAAATGCTTTTTCTACATTTTAAATCAAATAATTTGAGAATATTTATTCGGTTATGACGAGATCGATTATGGATGTTCATTTTACCATCAATAATCAAACTTTCTTAAAACTATTGGATTCATAAATGTGTAAAACGTAAGAAAAAAATCTTAAACACTTGGGTAGCTCACCAGTTTGATAGAGTATCCACAACACAAGCACCCAGCCAAGACTCTGAGGCTGATTGCCGGTAATATTATGTCACGTCTTGGTCCGATCTTGCGGGTCACGTGATCCGATATTCAACATTGCCAAGTGGCACTGCTTTCTTTGCGTCTTTGCTTGAGACGGCTCATTGCAAAAGTAGGTTTGTCAATTTTCATTTTTTTGCAGAGGATTTACATTTTTTATAAAAACATTCAAATATGTGTAGCCCCTCGGGACGTACGTGATAATAAAGCTACATGCATAGGAAAACAAATTTAAGATGAATAAATATTTTTGTTCATTGGGTTTATGACAACTTTGGATTGGATTTAATTGAACTTGTAGGTTCAGACTCACTTTAGGGGCCTTTCAGCCAATAGACACCTACTTTGGAGCCTGATAAATCTTGCAATCTTGTACTACAGCCGCTTGAATCTGAAAATTGTTGTGAAAAAGAATAGTTTACAGAAAGCACATTACTCGCATCATAATTTGAACCGAGTAAAAAATTTTGATTTCCTGTGCACGTAATAAACTAGAATCCATGCACTTCAATTAAATCGCGCATGATAATGGTTTTTGCAGGTTTTTAAAAAAAACAGTGTTCCTCTCCCATTCTGTGTTGCTGAAGGAGTAAACTGCCATTGGGATGTTCTACAACGTTCCCTTGAACTTAAGAAGGTTCTTGAAAAACAGAGAAATTCATGCTTTTCTGAAAGGCCAATCGTGCTTTAAGTCCTGTTTTATTGGTGCAGCAAAACAATATTACTTGGTTTACAACAATAAGAATTATATTTCCATTTACTTATTCATTTAATTTTATAGAAATATCAGTTTTAATAATATTAAGCTGCATAACATTTATACAATAACCATCATGATTTAAGGTGATCTTCCAGTTCAAACTACGCTTTTATTGACGCGTAATATTGCTTTGATTTGCACCTTGAATGGTTGTCCAGTCCAAAGCCATTAAAATAAAACAATGAAACTTAATACGTTGCACCATCGCAACACCATCGTATGCTTTAAAGTTGGAACTGCCGTCATAATTCGGCTCCAAATCACGATAATCCATCGCATTCATCGCATATCAGCGCCGCGCAAAGACGGTTTTTAGGTGGCGCTGATAAAAACGTCACATTCGATAAAAGTTCATAGCCTTTAGTTCACTCTATCCAAAACTACGTCACGCTAAATATGCAACGATGCTTGCGGCGAGATGATCTTACGTCATCTGCGGGCGCCACGCGTGAGTTCTCTCCGATCCCAAGTTCAGCGGAGCGACGACGCGACGCATCGCGTCTGCGGACGTCAACGTCACAGTGGTGCCGCGTCAAACCGGCAGATGAGCGAGCGACCAACGTGAGACACACAGTGCGTGATTTGCAAAATTGCAAGCCTACACGGCCATACTGCCGCGCTACGGAAGAACGCCGTATGAACCTTCGTCAGTCGCCAAACTTCCTTTCATTCAATAAGAATTTTCGGGAAAACTCGCGAACATTTTCATTTCAATTTTTCATAGATATTTATTTGTAATCAGATCTAAAGTATCTGAAAATTTCCAGAGAAAGTATTCATAAATCTCCTGGAAATTAGACATTTCATTGGAGGAAATATGGCAACCCTCGAATGTTCATCCGGCGTTTTTTCTCGGCACGGTAGCATCGATCCAAGGACGAAGCACTTACAGCTTTTCACTGACTTTCATGAGGAAAGGCTCCTTAAAAACTGTGCCTGTTCGCACCATTAAGTGCTGCCAAAGGTGCAAAATGAAATGGATCGGCTGCAAGCAAGAAATATAGCCGAATTAGTATACTCCTGGTAAGTAAAATTGCACGGAAATCACGCTTGGAACGTCAAAAAAGTCTGAAATCCATTCCTTATTGCGTAGTTTGTAACACGCTTTTTCGAGTTTTCCGCCCTGCGGGCAGTTTTTCTCCAGCGCCGCCGACCAGGTTTGAAAAGACAGATGAGGAGTAAGAAAAACGGACCTGAGAAAACAAACGATTTAACCAACTTTTCTTTTTGTACAATTTCAATCGTTTCTAAGCGTTTGTGTTATTTTTCACCCTTTATTTTGCAAAAACAGACGCTTTGAATCAATCGAAATGTTCACCAAAAATAGTTTGTAACAGTTTGCAAGATTTTTTTGATTCTTTAGGTAAGGTCTCTCTTCGGGAAAACCTGACTGCCAGACACCAAGAAAAACAGCCTGCATCCGCGGTAAATTTGAAAAAGCGTGTTACAAATCACGCAGATTGCGCGCTAAGGAGTGGAGTATTATATATTCAGTTGGCTGTATCTCTTGCGTACAACAGGCCCATTTAACACGAATTAAATATAATTGAAAAATAAAATTTCATTTTCCAGGAAATTTAAAGGATTTCTCAGGGGCGGCGTATGCAATCCGTTTAACGTATTTCTGTTTAGAAACTAGGCAAAATCTCCCGTGTTTGCTATTTTTTTTATATTTGTTTGAAAATGTCAAGCCCCCCTCCCTCTCGTTCTCATTGTATTTGGTGTGTGCGTTTAGGGTATTTCAATTTCTGCTAGCCAATGTAGCAGATGACATACAACTCGAAATAAAAAAAGAGGTTGAAACCAAAATTCAGTAGTTATGCTTCAATAAAATGTATTTGCACTCGCATTTCTACATATGTATAAAAAAGGATTCAACTCAGACTTCTATTTACTTATGGATATGAATGTACTGTACAGTGAAGCGGTTGCCCGAAGTGACGTGGCGTGATTTGCGATGTATCGATCAATATGTAATTTAAACCTACGAAAAAATATCGATTACCAGGGCGTTCACAACGAACAACTTAATAATCGATTATTTGCCACGGCTTCAAATGGGATAGTGTCGATAGTCAATTATCATGCCTCGCTACTGGATCCCCGCGATCAACAACCTTGTGGCAAATTACTACCAGGGTAAATAACCATGGGTTGCTTACAAGCAAAGCGAATATTACATGCTCAAATAGTAACGACTAGGTCCAATTGTTTGTTTTTTTTAAAAAAAAATAGAAATGATATAGAAGATGGAAAGCTTAGGTTTAAAAAAACGAGGGGGACAAACTTTCTCAAGGATAAAAAGTCAAGCAAAATTATACGTAACTCTATGAGGTTTGGGTTTCAGGTAGTCATGCATTTTACTGTATTTTGCGATAAGAAACTACAAATTCTAGCTCAGTAAAGAAACAACGTATGCACCATTCGTTTCCCTATGCACATCAGTGTTTTTACAGTTGAGCCAGAAATTGTAGTTCCTAATCGCAAAATGAAGTTCAATTCATTCGAGGTATTTGAAGCCTGAGTTCCTCAGTCAGTGACACCTGAACACCGCCTAAAAATTGGGAGAAATTGGCGTTGTGCAGGAATGGGGTCGAAAAGGAAAAAAAAAACTGGTAGATTAATAATAGGTGATTTCTGACTTAGGCGTATTTTTCCAAATGCATTATTATTATTATTATTATAAGAAAGAACTTAATCGAAATTTTACTTATTAATAGATTCGCATTCCTTCAACACATTTCCATTAAAACAAAAACAAGTTTTCTCTGACGACAAAAAAACATTGATACTGTACGATACAAACTCTCTAAGAAAGCACTATCACAAGCGGCAAGTCTGGCAACGGTGGGAGAGGGTCAAAAATTGTTTTTTTGGTTGCTTTTTTTGTTGTGTTTATCTTTAAAGATTAAGAGGGGGGGGGGATTTATCACAGGGCGCCATCAAAAATGCATAAAAACCTATATCACAAAGTTCTGTGCTCACAGAAATGTCTTAGAACGAGATATCACAAGAAAACATTATCATAGTTTAAAAAGGGGGATGAACGAAAAATACTAAAAAACAAAGAATTAAATAAAACATGAACATCTTAAACTTTCGGTAAATATAGTTATTGGTGCATTTTACACGTGCTGGAATTCAAGGCGGCAAACATGCCTATAGTCTCCAAACCTAAAAATGTGTGTCTCTTGTACAACTAGCTTATTAACTCATATGGAGAGAGACTTCTTAGAGCGAGGTAACGGAAGCACCAGTTGTACTAAAGTTATATTTTTTCTCCTCGAACTTAGATGAAAATATAGATAACACATTTTACAAAATGTCCAAAATTCAAAACGGAATAGTATTTCTAGCCATTGTAAATCGAAGGGATCAGAATTTTTGCATCGATAGGGAACCACCTCTGCCGTGTTTCAGAAAAACACTTGATGGAAATTGGAAAAAAAACTCGTCACCCTATTTCAAAACTTTTGGATCATTCAAATTCTCATGAGACGTTTTTCTTTGGCACGGCAGAGGGGCTGATGCAAAACCGAGAGGATTTAATTGCCGTAGCCCCTAGAGGGGCTTCTCCAGCGGCCAGTGTGGGCTCCAGCGCCGGGAAGAATGGGAAGAGAAGAGACGAAAACACCTCGCTTTGGGGTCTGGACCGATCGCTTTTCCTGCGGGTTCACCGGAACTCGCACGAACTCGTATCTGATCGGAGTCTGAGCCCGAGACATACTGGGGCTGGAAGTTTCCGGGTTCTGGTTCTGGGACCCGCTGGGGTTTTGACTGGGAGTCTGCCCTCGGGACACGGTGGGGTACACGCGAGATGTGGCCACATTAGTATGCTCGTCGGGATATTCCGGGTGGTTTGGTTCGGGCGTCGACGGTTGCTCCTTCTCATGACCTGGGGATCCGAACTCTGGCTCATCGAAATCCTCGTCGACTATGAAGGAGGTGGACTGGTCCCAGGTGGGTTTGATTTTGGAGCAGCCGAGGGCGCGGTTGAAGGCGAGAGCGCGCTCCAGTTTGGCCTCCAGCTGGGCCACGTTCTGCGGGTAGCCGTGGGTCATCCGCAGTTCCTGTTGGATGTCCTTCAGAGCGAGGAAGGCCTCGTGGAGGCTGTTGAGGACGGCGTTGGCCGCCTCCATGATGGCCTTGACTTCTTTCCCGAACTGGAGATGCCCGGCCTGGAGGCGTTTCAGCATAATGAGCTTCGTGCCGTTCGGTTTCCCGCTGAAGCGGGAAATAATCGCTCCACGCGCCGCTGCCTGGGCGTTCAGCTGAAAGGAATAAGGCATGAGGTTTATTCAATGGAGCTCTTTGATTGAAACCAACGGAAAGAACATACAATTTCTAACCGAAAACACACCATTTTTTTCCTAGCTTAATTTTTGGCTCGTAAAATCAACGTTTCCTTAAAAAATTACCTTTTAAAAAGGCGCAATTTTGCTGATTTGGGGAGAAACTTTGAGCCACGATTATCTGAGAAATAACTGTCGAGCTCATTGAAAAGAGCGTAAAATTTGCTCGTAGGAAAAATATGTCGAATGTTTCAAAGCTTGATTTAATCCTGTGAAACAGTAGCTTAAAACTCCACCCTTAAAAGGTGCTATTGTCTACCATTTTCCTTACAATCAAGGGGAAAAAACCCTAGAAATGTGGGACGAACTGTGTAACAAGGCAAGGAAAGTGCTTAAGGTAATTCGACGGACGGCATTTTTTGTCGTGCGGTATATCGTATCGATTCGCTCGATATTTGCAGCTACTTGTCATTTTTTTCGAATTCTGAGATCGCACTTCTGTTGTCATGAGATTGAAGACATCATGTCTGAGACATCATGAGTATCCAATTTGACAAAGAAATTCAACGTTATTAAGGCATGGTTCTTTTAGATGACAAATATAGCATTCGAAACTGCTATCGAAACTGCACTTGAATGCGACATTTTTCCTCTGAAAATACCACACCTTTATCACGTTGAATATCTTTGTCTTTCGTTGCCACATTATTTTTGGTCCTATGTTCCTTTTTTTGTTTTTACCGAAAAAAAAACACGGTCCCTGATTCGAAATCGTGGCTATCAGAAAAGTTATTTTAGTTTTTAATGGGGAAAATTAGAAGGGAGACATAAATAATAACGCGTCATCTAAATGTCGCAGCAATTTTAGCGTCCGTCCCGCAAGCGAGGGTCGGCTGGGCGGTTAAGACATCTTCGCAGTTTGACGCGCCTTCAATCCGGTGGAGCTGCAACATGCTTACACCCGCGGTCAAATAGTTGTATGTCACGCCTGCCGTAAACGAACTCAAGTATCCATGGTTCCACGCGAATAGGAGCTTATTTACGTCGAATGCAACATTGCAAACCGCAGTTAATGCTTCAACTTTAATCAATTATTTTTTGAAAGATACGCACAGATTTGCTTCAAAATTTTCAAGCATTTTTCGAACGATTTTAATTGAAATCACGGGAAATTTCGCCGCGACATTATATTTTGTCCTTGTTTCCTTTCTTGTTTTTACCGAAAAAAAACCACGGTCCCCGATTCTAAATCGTAGCTAATAGGATTGTTATTTTGGTTTTTTATAGTGAAAATTAGAAGGGAGTCATGAATAATGACGCATCGTTCATTCACGTTGAATGCAACGTTTCTAACCGCAGTTAATGCTTCAATTTCAATCAATATTTTTGAAAAGATACGCACAGATTTGCTGATAAATTTTCAAGCATTTTTGTACGATTTTAATTGAAATCACGGGAAATTTCGTCGCCACATTATATTTAGTCCTAGTTTCCTTTTTATTTGTTTTTTCCGAAAAAAAAACCATGGTCCCGGATTCTAAATCGTAGCTAATGGGATTTTTATTTTGGTTTTTAATAGTGAAAATTAGAAGGGAGTTATGAATAATGACGCATCGTTTAAGTGTCGCAGCAATTTTAGTGTTCGTCCCGCCAGCGAGGGTCGATAGGGCGGTCAAGACACCTTCGCAGTTTGAAGCGCCTTCAATCCGGCGGAGCTGCAACATGCTTACACCCGTGGTCAAATAGTTGTATGTCACGCCTGGCTTCAAGACCACTGTGCTGAGTTTTTATGTGGTTTAGATTTTTTAATTTCCTTACCTGCAATTGTGTGTTCACGAAGTTACCGGCGAGACCCTTCACGGCCAATTCGAAACCTCCATCAGTCGGCAGAGAGTGATCCTTTTTGACTAATTCCAGGAATTGGGGCCTCGGGGTGTTTGCAACGACCTTTGCAAGGGCGATAACCGCCTTCAGTTGCTTGCGGAATCGTTCGGCAACGCCGCAAAGGAGCTCTTTTGTCTTGACCACTTTGGATTTAAGAATCTCCGCAATATTCGACTCGAAAGCTTCATTGTAGTAGTTTTCCGCTGAAAGGAAAAATGCAAGAAAAAACAGTCATCATAATTTTGAACCCTTTTTTGCCTGAAGGACAAATTCTCAGGGGCCTGAAGGTTCCTCAATGGCATTCATTGCTTAGACGTAGTCCTTTTCCGTAGTAATCATTCATGTTTGGGTGACGGATTGCCAAAATAAACCGTGAGAGGAATTACCTACCCTAAAATGCTACTTCAAAAAATAAAAAGAACAAAACAAAACCATCGATGATTTTGACAAACTCTACAGTAACTCTGGAGCCACCTTCAAATTTTTAAAAATATTCGAGAAATTTTATTTTTCTTTACATTTTTTTTATTAACAATATAATTATTATTTACTAAGTCAGAACTACCATAACTAGCTTGTGGATATCTATTGCTACCCGTTTAATTTTTTACCTTGATGATCAAGCTTTCCGTGTCGTAATTTGCCATTAATGTGGAAGCAAATATTTAAAAATCCCTTGTTAAGATGTGTTTCCAACGCTCTAGCTGTCCTCGAGGTTCATAAAAGTCGTAAAATTATTGGGCTGTAAACCAAAATTATAACCATAGGTACTTAAATTAATGGCCGTGCTTCCTTTGCGTGGCCCCGAGTATTTATTTTAAAAGATTGGGTGAAAATTGAAATATAATAGGTCAATTTTTTGAATTTATCCTTCAAAGAAATTTCAATTTTCCACTACATAAAATATAAAGTTGCAAAATTTTCAAACATTTTACGAGACGTTAGGTAATATAGCAGCATGGGTTTCCTTTCGAAATTTTTCGTCGTCACAATTCATTGGAGCTTTTTGCAAACGTCCATTTTTAAAGTTTTAATGTGGAATTCTACTTCCGATTTTTGCAAAAAGTAATTTGTATAAAATTATGTGAAGGGCTTCCTTCGACTTCCTTTAACCACGGTGGCAACTCAATGAAACCCCTCTAGAAATAAAAGCATCTATGTGAGGAACGTAAAGTATACGTAAAACCAACACCTAAGCATAAATAGTTACACTATGCGACTATGAGTTGTGATTGAGAGTGTCGGAGCGCCTACAATTGTTCGCACACGCAACACGCACGCTCTTAGAGCACGAATAGTTGTTTCCAAACAACTACAATTACGAACCTATGATTAAATGCTTCCCTAACGCTACGTATTTATTAATGTAAAACGGCTTAGAAGCTGTTTACGGAACGACTATAAATACTATAAACAGACCGCGTAAAGCAGAAAGGAACCAAGCCACATCAGCGAATGCCAAATTTAATTGGACAATTCAATGTTTTACTCGAAAACGGTTGTGCGGATTTTTGTGCATATATCATTGGGTTTTCTGCTGCGAAGAAAAGTCCTTAAAACTTTCAAAGAGTCCTTACACACGTTTTCTTGTAAAAAATGAACTGCCCACTTAAATTTGGCAATATCTGATGTGGCTTGATTCCTCTCTGCTAAAAGCGGTCCAAATAAAACTCTCTCCATCTGGAATCGTACCTGCGTGTAGATTTCTAACGGGTTTGATATTTTGCATAGCGATGAGATAAGGACAGTTTTCCTTGCCCTCTTCCATGGCTTTTGGGATCTTTTGAGCAACGACATTTATTTCCTGGAGACTGGTCACCTGGAGCTCATCCCATGAGAGCGGTTTTGTTGCCTCCTGAGGGGTTGTCAGTTGTTCTCTTGCTTCTCGCGAATCATAATTACCGTAGTAGTCAGGGTAACCGTAAACTGCCTGCAATTGAAATCGAGGAAATCTTTAGCACAATGGACCACTAGACAAGGCACGAATTTCAGCATTCTGATACATGTGTCGTGACTAAAATTTCACGTAAAACACGATGCGCACAGAAAAAATTACCGCAATTAACTCCTTACACGGATATTTCATGATTCTTGATGCGTGAATTCAAACCACCCGCTCATGAAAACTCAATGCTCTACGTGATTCACATCGCGCGCTAAACATTATCATGACAGTCTCTGCGATATACAAATCTGGCAACCTCAATCTTGACGCTTTGGCTCAGCTACAGCAAATTTCTTATAGTTTGATAAAACACATGGTGGGAAATGAACATTGCTTTATTGAGAAGATTGCTAAAACCGGTATAGTGCGCGATTTGACTCACGTAGAGCTTCGAGTTTCTTGTGAGCGGGCAGTTCAAATTCCTTGTAACCAATGTGAAATAAAAAGGTTAATATCTCCGTTAGGAGTTGGTCTCAGTCATTTTCATTGCGCGAGTCGTGCTCTGCGTGAAATTTTGGTTTAGAAACATGTATCAGAATCCTTTGATTTGTACCTTGTCTAGTGGTCCATTGGCCGTATTTCTGTCAAACGGAACCACATGCATTATGACGTGAGCCCTGTTATGCATATATTCTTAGGGGGCTCAGGGCTCATGTAAGGGCACATAGTTCTGTTTGGCAGGAATATATTCAATTCATAGTAATGGAACCAGTGGCGAGGCGTGAATGATCGATTATCGATATTTCTCCTTTGGAAACTGTTATAAAGAATCGATTTTTAAGGTATTCGTAGCGAACACCCTGTTTATCGACGATTTTCCATAAGCCTAAATAGCAGCTCAATCGATATATATCGCAAAGCATGGAACGAATGGATCATTTTATTAAAAAAAACTTCGGTCGCAAGGACTGTACAACGAGAACTTTAATAATCAATTCTTTACCATAGCTGCAAACGGGAATAAATCGATAATCGATCATCCACGCCTCAACACTGCAAAAGCGCGCTTTGCCATTTATCGATTGATCTATCTACAATTTAAATCTATGGAAAAGGATAGATAAACAGGACGTTTGCAATGAACATCTTAATAATCGATTCTTTAGCATAGCTTCAAATGAGGAAAAATCGATAATCGGTCATTTACGACGAGAATTTACTTTCATAGAAGCAGGATTTCAATTTCATTTTGCTCCTTAATTCCAAATTCTCTGGCAATAAAAGTTCGCGGGAAAATTCAGAGAAATTCACATTTTTTGGATGATCCTCGTGGGAATTCTTGGTTCCCTTCCGCTTTTTGCTACTCACTTGATCTTGGTGGAAAAATTCAAGGTTGACTAAAATTTTTCAGACAAACTAGTCACGAAATCTTGTTTTGAAATGCCGATCTTCAAAAAACAGATTGCATGAGTAACATTATCGACTGCGGTGGTGTTACCTCATGGTCTTATGCGTGCCTTGCAGTACATTAGTGATGGAAGCAATGAAGTGTAGAGACGTGTTTTGGCTCATAAAGAAAAAAAAACAGAAGTAGAATTGCAAAAAAGTTTTCTTCGTCCATTTGAGTTGCTTAACCAGCTTTAGTGCGGGATTCCTAGATTTTTTTCATCGAAGAATGATAAGACGAACATGGCAGAAGTCGAAGATTTTTGAGGCCTTTCAAATATTTCAAAAACAGACGCACGTTTTTTTCGAAACTGTGATGTACATACTCGAAGAAATAACAAGATTTTTCGGTTTTCGGCTACTCATAATGTGAGAACAAAAGCTGAGCTATTAGCCGATTGTAAATTGAAATTTGAAGATTGTAGTTAGTTAGTTATTATAATTTTAAGACATTCAGCGACTCAGGCTATTAACGTCAATTGAAATTTGAAAATTGTAAATATACTAACATTCTCTTGCATATTATTTTTTTTATTAAAGCATGGTCCGAGTAGCAATCATTGCATATATTTGTAAAATCGGCTAATAGCTCAAATTTTGTTTTCACTCGAAGAAATATGAAGCCAAGTCGAAGGGGAAAAGAGCCACTATAGACAAATACAGACACTATAGACGAAACTACTAGAACGCGCCAGAAAATCGCATTTTATCTCTTTAAAATTCTACGTAGAATGATTCACAGGATTGAAAATTAGGCAAGCAGTTCCTGAACAAGTTCTTTAACGAGTTTTCCGTCACATTAATATTATAGGTGTTAGATTTTGCGAATGACATCATTCGTATTAATCCCATTTAACTAACGTAGGTGGACCACTGGACCAGGTCTGGACGAGGAATATACATTATTCCTGTTCTCTTCGAAATTCTACGTGGAATGCAATGCACACAACGGGAAGTACGGAAATCAACTTCATAACAATATATTAAGAAGTATTTTTAAAACAGATCAAAGGGGAGTCAGGCGATAGAGATGACGTCATTCGTATTTTTACCGTTCAATCAATGTTGATAATAAAAATTCATATCGTATTTTGGAGTTGCTTTCCGGACTTCCTGTTGTGTGGGTAATTTTTATTCCTCGTGCAATTTTGAAGAGAAAACATGTTGCGTTGTGCTTTGCTTCATACCTTCTCTGGAGAATCATTGCAAACACCTATGTCTTGCACAAAAGTCGATTTTCAGACTTCCCTTGGTGGGATTCGCTTTATTTATTGCATAATTCTGAGGGGGAAAATGTTACGTGGTGCTCAATTCGTACCTTATCTGGGGGCAAAATTTCTCGGTCGCAAAGAAAATAAGAGATCAAACGATTCCTTTGTCACGGTTATAAAATTCCCATCACTCCCGGTAAACTTTCGTCGTTTGAACTAAAATTTAACTTGAAGTTAACATAAGCTTCTTCCGTTTTTATTTGTTGTCAGAGCAGCGAGATTGCCAAAGTGTTCGTGTCAAGTAGATTAGATGTTTCTTAGCACAAATAATAGATCCTTATGCTAAAATATGAACTTCGAAGTGAGAAGACACATTAAGCAATAAGGTTTTGATCACTGACTTTGTAAAAGCCGCTTAGTTAAGGGATACCCTGCCCAAATAGCAGTAGTTGCGATAAGTTGCGATTTGATCGGATAACGTTTCGCGATTTATTTAAATATTATCGGATAAAAAATTGCGGTTTCCTCGCTGAAATTTCCAATTAAATCGCGATTTTATCGACGGCGATTCATCGGAAGATTTTTCGAACAAAAAATCTGATAAATTGATATAACATTAGATCTTATAGAACGCGATTTTACAGAGATAAAATTGCGACAAGATTGAGGATAATCGCTCTGACGTTCGTGCTCAGCATTTAAATCCCCCTACAATAAAGAGTTAACAAAACAAAGAAAACAAAATCTTGAATAAAACAGACGGAAAATACCAAGAAAAATAAACCTCGTTGAATTAAAACTACATTCGACCTATAAACTCCCAAAAGACCGATTAAGAAATGAAAAAAAACTTGCCAAATATCGTAAGAAAATTGCAACTTAATTTCAGCATACCTCAATTTTTCCGTTGAAAAATACTACTTGGGTGTGTATTTGTATATTTGATATTTATTGTGCGCAATTAACTCACCTGAAGGAGGAGGAGCGGTATCGCGACGCGAAGGGCCGTTTTGACGATGGCGCCCATGACCGAGCACAGACAGAGGCTTCAATCAACGAGTGGCGTTAGTCCTGCGAAAAACTCAGTTTTATACTTTAGAAATGCGTTAAATGTCACCGTACCCTCATGTCAAGCGCTGCCGCGGCCTCTGACGCAGTATTCCATGAAATGTTGCAAAATCTGACTCTAAACAGGTAACACTAGTGCCCCAAAATTTTATTAAATACACCATCATTTAAACATTTTAAAAACCTAGTTTCCGGTATTATTGCCGATTCCGAGGAAGTGCCACTTCGCCAACCGTTAATTTGAACACGTGTTTGAACACTGAAAAAAAAGATTGGTAGAATTTACCATTCCCTAAAGGTGTATTTTACACAGCGTGAATTAAAAGTCGATTCTACCGTAAGAATGGGTACCTGTACCAGTATATCGTAACATTTACCTTTTTCCTGGCAGAATTGACTCTGAATTGACGCTGTGTGAAATACAGCGTTAATTAATGGTGAATTCTACCAATCTTTTTTTTAGTGCACGTTCGTTTTTTGCTAAAAAGCGACTGCACATTAGTTTGTTCTTCACTTCATTTCGTGTGTTTGTCCAAAATATATTGGGGGATTAAAGACTTGATCAAGGCAGAACTAAGCTCGAATTATCTGCCGAACAGGTTTCCTCTCGAATCGAGATGAAACATGTTTGCTTGACGGAAGAACATGTTTCCACCAAGCAGAAACCGACCTGATTCCGAGCATTTCGATCTTTATTCAAGAAACTAATTTCTGAACGACGAATTTCAGAAGATTTCTACTCGGATCAAGTTTCTGCAGATGCAGTACATTTTAGAAATTTAACAGGCCCAAGACTCGACTATATAGCTGCGAGTGTGCTTCCAGGGCCACGTTTCTCTGACCACCCTAGGGGTTGACTAACTCCCTAAACTATCCTCCTGCATTCTGTGTCCCCAAGCCCTCCCTCCCCCTTTTGCCCCTCTGGTGATTGGCCAACTTCCTAGATTCCCTCGACCCTCGTATGGTCTGGATCGAGAGGAAACAAGCCCCCCACCTTTTATTCGACCTGCCTCACAGTGGAACGAGTCTTTGGAAGAGGTCGGACATGAAATGCTTGACAAAAATTGTTAGGTTTTACGTTTCCCTCGTCACAAATTTAATTTTAAGGGATGCTGTTAATAGAAAATTATACGAGAGAACCAATGAAACTACTTTGAAAACATCAACATTTCATACCAACGAGGATAATGCGCTTTTAAAGTTTTTAAATCATGTCCGATCTCTCCCATTGACTCGATCCACTGTGCGCGTGTGCGCCTCCCCCAAAAACGCTTGCAAGCTTGACTACGGTCCCGTGCAAACCAGAACTTTGGAATGTTTTCCAGAACTTGGAACTTTCCGATTGTACGTGAGTGCTCCCGTCACATTTCGAATGGGGGTTTGATGAGTATTCTCGATTGTGAGACCATACGGCAACAGATTCGGAGTGAATGCATCACCTTTTGATTAACTTCTCTTCTGTTCTCTCCGCGTCATCGTGTTGATTACAAGCGAGACTTATAAAAAAGAAGGGAAGAAATGGAGGCAGAAGTTGCGTTTGACGTCAGAACGAGCAGCATAGGCTGGAGTTATGATTTGACGAAGGCTGCAGCTGACGTCATGGCTCGGGATGGAAAATGCAAATTATGGGTATGAGTCAGTTTCGAAAGTTCAGAGTCAAATCACGACTAACTCCAAGTATTATGAGAATTATAGAAACTTTTGCAATCGGGGTTATGCGCCTGCCAATCCTTAAATTTTCCTCTTGATGGCAGCTGAACAACGCATTTGAGCAATTATTTGATCAAAAATAATGTTCAATCAATGAGTCTGGGTTCCTATATCCATATCCAACGCACGCAGCAAAATGACCAGCAGGCCGATTATTGAAATTGATCGACAAAGCTACAGACAAAAGAGGTGAAGTTGAAATGGATTGCATTTTGCAAAAAGGAACCAGAAGTATTGCATGATGCTAAGATTGTGCACCTTCATCCAGTGCAATAAAATTACTGAAATCATGAAAAAATATGAAATTAACATGGTAATTTTTGTCTTAATTTCCAGTGTTTAGAGAGAAAAATAATGGATACTCAGGTTTATCTTCCATGACAAGAAGTTCTTAGCAATCTTAGCAACACTGCAATGCTCCTGGTTCCTTTTTGCAAAATTCAATCCAAATAATGGAGTCATCTTTTATTGGCGGAAGCGAATGGTTGCATTGACGCATGCAACATTATGACCAACGGCCGATTTACTGAAATCGATAGACAAAGCTGTAAACAAAGAAGACATTAGGGATGTGGAGGGATCCAATTAGTGGAAGCAGATGGTTGCAATGTACAAAGGAAGTAAGTACTAGAATAGCTATAGAGAGACCCTGTAGTTAGTCCATCACTTCCCCCTTAGTTTATTGCAACTGCGTGTTTCAACCTTTCAACCAACACAAAAGCTGCATTTTCCCATCGTATTATTTGTTTATCGCTTTTTCTATCGATTTCAATTAATGGTCCGCTGATTATTGTGAGAGCCAACTTCAAGAATAACAAGACCTCGTGTCTTGTCGCGATTTTATTGAATATTCTGCGGTCTGCAGAAGTTAAGCATCGAAAAATCAACTCCTCATACCTTTTTCAGCCGCGGTTAGGATTTACCCAGTGGCGAGGCGTGCTTTGCGATATATCGATTGATCTGTCATTTAAACCTATGAAAAAGGATCGATTAACAGGGCGTTCGCAGCGAACACCTTAATAATCGATTCTTTACCATAGGTTTAAATTACATAACAATCGATATATCGCAATTCACGCCACGCCACTGGATACTATTCTTTGGGAACCCTTCATACATCAATGCACATCGAATTTAACTTTAAATTCCATTTTGACCCCTCAAAGACCGGAGCATGTGTTGCTCCTTAAGATGTTCTGCTTAAAATACTGGTGAGAAACCGAGCAACGTAGACTGTTTGAAAAGTGAATGGGAAAATTCCAAGAAGCTGCGCTGAGTGCAAGCTCAAAAGGGAGCAAGTTTTCCATCGAACTATGACAACGTCGCTTCAACGCAGAACGCCGCGCAAAATGTGAAATGAACAATGCTTGAAAAAAAAATCTCCAGTTTGACACCCGCAAAGTGAGGTGATATACCGTCAAAGGGTCACTTTTTTGCCGACAAAAGTGGGGAATAATCCATGCGCAGTTATAATCGGAACACAGTTGAAACGGAAACGAGCTTTGCTCAAGTCTGAAAATTTTAGAGAAGGTTGACAACGCTCCTTTGACGCACATCGCACCGAAAAAACTGAAATGAGGTACAGTTAAAAAATCGGTAGGTTAATGTACCTATCGAATGGTGATGTACTTCCTTTTTTTTATCAGTTACAAGTGAGCTTTCATAATGCAAATATACACTTTGTTTCTAACTTAAATAAAGAGAAAATACAAACAACAGAGCAGTTTGTAACTTATTTACATATTATATGTGATGAATTAAAATATGTACTTTCTGAGTCTCACTTTTGTCGGCGGAAATAAAAAGCATGGAGAGCAGTTTCAGTAGAACCATACTAGGTATCACTTGGAGGAAGTATCAAGAAAACGACGGAATATTGCGATTTTTGGACGATCCTCGCTTTCGGATCTCTGTTTCGAGACCGAAAATGTGAGTTTTGAAAAAACCCAAATACTTCTGAAAAATACGGCGTTGTTTGTATCTGGACGATAGCTCGAAGAAAGAAGCAATAAAACAATGATATAAACTAATTCGGAATAACGAAAAAGTTGTTTTTGACAGTTCGCACGAAAATGACAGTTGACCAGAGTCAAATTTTTTGAACATATCATGCTCGGCAAACCTATAGTTTCAAACAACAAAAAAAAAAGTTTACATGGTCAAAATCGATTTTACCTACATTGCGTGATACAAACAACATCAGTGCGCCTGGTACAAATTTTCGATATTTTGACATTCTCAATACCTCGTCGTGGGCTTTTGACATATTTTCTCTGACGTAAAGACGTATCTCGATTTCCATAAGAGTTTCCATTCGATTTCCCGTTTTTTACTTGTAAATCCATGCTTTCTGGGGCTGATGTGAAAAAAAAGATACGCCCTTACAACAAAGGAACGACGTAATGTACAAAATACCCATTCCATTGATTTGACTCCATTACATTTTATTCCAAACCACGGTTACAGAATATTTTCTTGTATGCATTGTGACCAAATAATAGCTTTTGAGGTTAAAGGTGCTTTTATAGAGAAATTCGCCCTCTTTTCAATTTCATTAAGGTCGTTGAACTACAAATATACCGTGTTGTTTCCTTATGTGAGAGTAAAACTGTTGCACGTCACGCGGATTTGCAATTACAGTATTTTACTAGTGTAAAATTTTGCCAGGAACTTGATGGTGAAGCTGACTTTCTCTGCAATGAACTCTTAAGCTCAAAAAAGCTCTCAAAGTTGAGACCGTAATGGTGGGGTTTTTCCACATAATGCGAGAGTCCAACTCTACTTCTCACAAAAGGAGAAAGAAGACTTCACTTCTTCTGAGAAAGAAGGAAATTACTCGTATGTCCGAATTGGAATTTATTTGGTGATAAACGTGAAAATTATGTGCATGGGTGGATAAGGCTGGTAATTCATAGAATACACGACACTGATATATGACAAGACATTTCAAGCTTTGACAGACTCGATTTAAACTTAAAAAAAAGAGGGAATTAAAAAAAAAATAATAAATAATTGGTGACCTGTCCTCAGTTGCTATCACGTAACTACTAAATATCTCAGCCTTATTTACGCATGTTTCCAGTTTTTACCGATCTTATTTTAAGGTTTGTTGTTTGGAACTTGATGATAAATGAGGAAAAAACGCCTTCGTGCTGATGACTCTGCAACCCACAGAGCGTCAAATTTCGATTGATTATTCTGCTTATTTTAGCGACGGTCTGAGCAGAACGCATCGTTACGATCATTATTTTTGATGACTTTCTATGCGAAAAATTTGCTTTAAAGTATGGCATCATGGTAAATCGAGGCACACACAAAAAACAACAAAAAAATTAAGTAAATAAAAGAAAAACGTCAGTATCTTCAAAAAAGTTACCAAGTTATACGACTGAATCGTTAAAGAAGAAGTATAATTTGGAGCGAGTTCATCATAAAGGAACCGACGAATATTGACAATAAGTCGAAACTGATAAAAAGATGTGTTTGAGTTTTTGTTTCTGCATTAGGATCAATGTAGAAAATTAACTTTAGCCCCTCTTTCCACAAACTACTTTCTGTTCTTCAGCTGTCAGTTTTTGGCAAGAGAAAATATATACGGCTAGTGGAACTCAAAAACATTATTGACTCGATTTGTTCGAAAATGTGGGTTGGTTCCTTTCTGATGAACTCGGTCCAATTATGATGGGATTTGTGACGGTATAAAAAAATTAAGAATAAAGAGGCGCATAGATCCATTTTTCCTTCTTAGAAGTCCGCCAAGTAACATTGACATTTGCAATTTTCAGACCACGTCACACTAGTCCTGGGAGGTAATTTAAACGTCGCGTCAGCTCAAAAACAAATACGTACATCATGCCAAAAAAATAAAGTTTTCAGCGGCTCTCTGAAAATTGAAAAGATTACTTTGCGCCATTTTAACCATACATCCTTCATTGCGTCATTTGCTTCATCTGTCCTATCTTCTATCAGAAGAAGCCCAATCAGACACTTGTTTGGCTGATGAATCAACGCCATCTTCCGCACATACCTACAAACCTCAATTTTTTACTTATGTATACCTACGTATGTATCAGCCGCTTTTAGGATGAAGTTAATGACTTAAGGATTATTCTATGTTAGGTTAGGTTAGGAGGGTAGGTAAAGTAGATTTAAAAAGGGTATACTTAAAATAATATTGAATAATTACCTTTCGCCACTTTTTTGATGATTAGAACCACCTTAACAAATTAAAAATCAAGTCGAAGATAAAAAATGTATTGCGTTTTGATTTGAAGTCAATAGGTTAAAAGAGTGCTAAATATAAACAATGAGCTTGGGCAGCAGTTTGACAGAGTGATGATCAGTAGTTAGAGGGATCCACCAACCCCGAGTTTACGATTTATCCTATCACCATCCAACAGTTCCGATTTTCTTCGAGGTTTGTGAATTACCTGGTTTGCGTTCTATATAACTCGCTCACGATATTCAGCGTGTGATCTGGCTTCACATCAGGAAAACGCACATCGACCTTGATATTTTCATGTTGAACGCGGGTTTACACGTGTGTTTTGGGCCTAATAACTACCGTACACGTGATCACAGGGGTCGTGTCTACCGTCATAATCCATGTTCCATGGAAAAAATTCGCTCCACATCGTTGAATAACCCCAGCGATTTCGAGAATTTAAAAGTAAAAAAAAATTAATATTCTCGCAGAAAATAGTAATTAAACGAGTGGGAAAGCTTTTACAAGGAGATGGTTCCTACAATGAAAACTGTTTCATTGTTTTATTATGCTCTTGATGAAGCTTTTGCGCACGGTTGAATTCGTTGGTGATTTCAGTGCGTCATTCGCAAAAAACTTGCGTCTGGCACTCTTAAAAAACGTAAATTAATGAAATTCTTAGGTTCAAATCTACCAAAAAATCATGGGGAGCACGTTGTAAAAATATTAAATTCACTCCTGGATGCCTGATTTCCGTTGTCTCATTCGCGTGAATTCAAATTTACCACATCTGCGGGCACATGGTTTTCTTCGTTCAGAACCAGTTTTGCCCAAAGGGAGACTTCATACACAAAACCTAAATATATCCAAACAATATTGCAAAACATTTACACATTAACACATTTAAACATTTTAACAAGCACATTCTCTGCAAGAAAATAAAATGGCGACGGAAATTTCTTAACGTCCCATGGCGCTTGTGATACTGTGTTGCGGGTTGCATACTCTAGTCCCTGAAAAATATGAAATATTTCACAGCCTCGTGAAATTTCATGAAGTATTTCATTGAAATTTCCAATCTTTCATTTCTTGGATGGTAAGCTCGGTAAGATTCTGTAAAGTTGATTTGATAAAACCATTTGAATCTTTACATCTTTGTTTTCTTCCCAGAAAAAAATGCTAAACTTTCTAGAGAGGTCAGATCGACTTGCCCCTTTTAAAACTCTGTAACTTAGTCAGTTTTTTTTACTTTGAGAGCTCGGGTTTGTTTTGATTTATCATTTACTAGCGTTTTAACGCTACAATATAATATTGATATCTGCCACTGCTCGCCCGAAAAAAGAAACCGTGCAGTACATATGTGGCACCCAGGGTGCGTGTGCATGAAGTGAAGTCGGAAAAGCCATCTTTTTTGGTCTTCTTTACCTTTTGGTTCCCAAAGAAATACTTTACAATATCAGAAATCACACTGGACATGATTCACATTGTCTCTTGAGGAGTGGATCTCAGGACTGAATGCTCATCATGATTCTTTTGGGAGTCCGATAGGTTCAAAATATCCTTCACCGGCTCAATCGAAGCTATAAAACAATCGATCGATTGTGATTTTGAAAATATGACTCTTCACGCTCGCACGTATGGATGTTGCCTATACGGCAAAATGAAAGGCAAAGGAATTTTACAGTAATTTTACATGACATGACGATCTTTTATTATGATAATATATTATTAAAACACTTAAATTAACATATATAAACTTTATCTTAAAATTCCGAGAAAATGAGAAGCCACGGAAATCGCTGCTTACTCCTCTTCTCAGATAAACTGACACATTTTCTGTAAATGAAAATATAAAATAAATAGACCGCTAGACAAGGTACGCAGTTAAGCATTCTGATACAAGTTTCTTGACCAAAATTTAACACAGAACACGATTCGTGCGACGAAAATTACTGAAAGTGACTCCTAACTCTGATGATGATTGAAGATTTTATGCTGTTTTAATAGATTTGACGAGCCCTTTATTTTTAGTGATTTTTAGATTTTTAATATTTATATAATTTATTGTGCTCGATACTGGATGAACTGCCACACAGGGCTATGCGTCAGTAGTGGAAGGAGAGAAGAAGAAGAAGACTCCTAACCAAGATACTCAATGTTCTTTAAAGCCGTAAATTCAGACCTCCCGCTCATGAAAACACAATGGTCTACGTGAACTAAACGGTACCGTAGCAGTCTTTGCGATACGAAAATATGGCGATCTCAATCATGACGCTACGGCTCAGCCATAGCAAATTGTTTACACTTCAAACAATAAAGGATGGGAAATGAACAATGTTTGATTGAGAAGCCTGCCGAAACCGTTGTAGTGCGCGATTTGACTCACGTAGAGTATTGTGTTCCTTGTGACTGGGCAACGAGGGGTAACCGATGTAAAATTAGAACATTGATATCTTAGTTAGATTTCTGTAATATTCGATGAAAGAATCGTGCTCTACGTAAAATTCTGGTTAGGAAACATGTATCAGAATGCTTAAATTCGTACCTTGTCTAGTGGTACATTGCGCATTTTTCTCTGATTAACTGATAGATCAATAGTTTAATAGTTAGGATGAATGAGAATGTAAGGAGATGCATAAATCAACTCAATCTTCAAATTGCGAGAAAACGAGGGGCCAGGAAAATCGGTGCTTCCTCCTTTTCTTGGGGCTGGTGCCCCAGGTGAGCAACCTGGACTGCCATTGGCTTCGGCTATCACCTCCGTCATCAGAGAAGAGCATTCGTCTCCGCAGAGTTTCGCCTCTCTCGCCATCGTCTAAATTCATGGCCGACTCGTCTGAATTGTTGACGGACGCGACGTCATCTTCACGTCGTCTGGGCGTTGATCCCTTCGGTGCGACTGGCTCCGTGCTTGAATGGTAGGCATGCCGCACGGGTTCTTTTTCGTCGTTTAAATATGCATGTGCATCCGTTTTTTCGGGGTGGTTTCTGCCGGGGGTATCTCCGTCGGTTGCTCCGAGGTTTTCGGGCTCCAGCACGAATTTGTCGAGATCGAACTCGCCGACGGACGAGACCGCATTTATGCGGTCTGCAGGCTGTGAGTGGATTGTCTAAAAGTAAAAATCATTTGAGAAAGTGAGGATTAGAAAGCTTCAATGATAAATAATAGTTACAAACTTTTTTTCCCAATTAAAACAAAATTATCTTTAGATTAAAAAAAAAATTATATAAATTAAAGGTAAAATATTTTTTTTCGTGACACAATGTTTTATGTGAGGGTGTTTTTCAATCGCATATGTTGTCTTTGCATTTAAAGAAATTAGTTCGTAAGAGATGACGAGGTAACATTTCTTTGAAAAAAAGTACTGCGGCGGCTGAACCTATTTTGATCCGGAGGGAAAGAATTCGTGGTACTTTTCTGGCAGATATAGACCATACTTCAAGGGAGTCAAGATTTTTGACTACCTTCCAGGAGGCGTACCAGACCTATTAGCAATTCATTTATTATTTGCAATATCCCTCATTCTATGCATCAATCGAAAACTCGCAATAAAAAAAATGAAGATGATACATGAAGATAACCCAAATAATTTAATAAAAAAAAACACAAAAATGGGTAAATAAGGCTATTTTATAACGTTCTAACCAGGTCTTTTATGTTTCTGTTTTTAGCCTTGTTTACCCATTAGTTTTTATTTTTTCTAGTAAAAAAAGAATGTTAAAAATTTACAAAAAATGAAACAATTTTAAAATGAAGCAGAAGCAATGAAGACCGGAAATATGCCCTGGCTCTGAAATATTCAGCTGAAGCCGTTGCTCACAACAATTTATTTAGACTAAAATAAGGCAAAATTGATTCATTTAAAGGTTTCCTAGCAGTGACCTAATTTCAGGCAAAAATGCCTAGTGGATGTAAGAGCTTAACAGTTTTTAATTAAAAATATGGATTATTATTTTGGAATCTTTAAATGGAAAAAAAGACTCTTGGACTCAGAGTCCAAACTCCTAAAAAATTTGACAAGAGAAAATACAATCGATTCAACTGGATTTTTGCTTGAATCGAGAGCCAAGTATTTTATTTAAAACAGATTTCCTTACAAATCAAGCAAAAATCCGATTGAAGCAAAGAGCAATTTCCTTGTAAAATTGTTTAAGAGACTAGACTGCAGATTCACGATAATTTTTTTCTTGTGTATTAGTCTTAAAATTAGTCTCGTTCACCCTCCAAAACGCAATTCATACGCATTTTCATACCGGGTTTGATAAAATTCCGTGGCTGGGGATCGAGAAGTTAGAAGTATCTGATTCGTATTACCTTTAAAATTATTAACAGTATTGATGAAATCGCACGTGGAGAAAATGGCACCATGTTCGTATCTGGATGGTTCTTCTACTGAACTACCAAAACAGAACCACGAGGATTTTAAATGTTTACATGTACGCCTGCGATTAGCTTCCTCTTCCTGCGCACAATTTTTTTGGTGGGTGCGTTCCGGAGGACTTTGAAAGTTCAAATCGACGATTGACGTAAAAGGATAAAAAAAAATCTTCAACTTTGACGCACACTTTATGAAATTATGTTTATTCATAGTTTTTTTTTCTTGGAAAATCGGCAAGTCCCTTTCTTGATCAAATGAAACGTGTGTTTCATCGAGAAATTATTTATCCTCGACGGCTTTTTTCAGCAAAATTAAGTGTTTTTTTTGCCCTGAATTTGTGGTATTTTTACCCTGCCATACACTCGAGGAAATACGGACAAAATGTCTGAAAACCATGTTTTAGATCAGTGGAAAGATTTTTCATAAATTTAGAAAAAAAAAAAAAGAAAAAAAAAATCTGCCTAACAGAATGCTTTGAGCTAAAATAATTTTTCTCCTTGGCTCGAAGGAAAAATTTCTGAGAGGAGGATTTTTTTCAATGTAGAAAATATTGACCTTGTCATCGATGACTAATTTTCTTCGAATTGAACAATTTTAAGAAAAAAAAGTGAAATAGAAACATAGAAATTTAAAATAAAAATGAAAAAAAAAAGAAATTTCCTTTCTCACCAAAAATATTTTAGCCGAACAAACTTGAATAGTAAATTTTGACTTTGTCTTCGATATCAAACATGCTTTTTCTTCGAATTAAAATATTTCCTGAATAAAATCCTGAGAAAATTTTTCTTTAAGTAAGACACAAAAAAGTTGAAGTAAAAATTAAAAGAAGAGAATGTATTTAACCCCCAAAAATAAATCAGTAATTCAACTTTATACAATTCATAGATCAATATTTACTTTTATTAAAACAAGTTTTGTAAACATTTTTTTAAGAAAGGAGATTCGTCTTTGTATATGAAGAAATAAAGGAAAGCGGCTGGAAACCGTATCATTGGACTGGAAGTATAACGTCATCTCGTTATGATCAACGGAAAGGGTAATGCACCATGCTAGAGTTCATTACTCTTTGATATTAGACATGCTATCAGGTCAAAATGCATGTTCGTTGATGAGAACTTCCGGTAAGACCTACTTTTCCGCTACTTTTTTTTTGTGACTCAATTTTTTTGTTTTTTTTTTTAAAAAAATTATTTTAGGCTCTTTTTTCCGAGCTTCAACACCTCCACAATTTACAATGTATGCATTTACCCTCTAAAATGAATGCATAATACACCCATTTTCCATCACTTTTAACAGTAATGTTGAAACGGTAATAGATATCGATTACCTTTTTCAAGTAAAATTTTAGTTTCTTAAAACTGGTTTTTAGAAAGCTTAAAGCCGCCGATTGAAAATGAGCCAGTTCCCTAGAACTCCTCCACGATAAAAAATATGGGTTTTCCTAAGAAAAAAAATAATCAAGCCAAGATATTTTAATTGTCATTATTAGATGTGAGGTCAAAACATACTTTCACTATTTGAAAATACTAAGAAATGGGCTACTTCCCTTTCCCCACCCAAAATACCCCTTAAAATGAAAGTATAGGGGGTTGAAAATATTTTCATCGAATACTTCGAGGTCAAATTAGACGAACAAAGACCTGGTTTCACAGCCGGCGCCGAAAAAAACATAATACAATTGTATCGCATTCAGTATAAAAAGGAACTAGGGTGATTACAGTGTTTTCAACATCGTGCAACTTCTTCTTTTTTAAACATACTTAATGTATACTTTTCTTTAAAGTTGACAATTTCTTGGTGGGAAGAAAAAAGCATTTGCTTTTTTGGAAGATTTTTTTTAAAAACTATGCAGAAGCAACATTTTTACAACACTGTAATCATGCTGGTCCCTTTTTGCTAAATGCGATCGAATTGTTTTTCTCGGTTGAGGTAAAACATGAAAGGGAATTTTGAACGTCACAAACCGAGGTATCGCGGATTTCTGGCTAGCCTGTTGACTTTGAAGAGGGAAATTTTAAAAGCGCGATGGAAATTTTAAAAGCGCAATGGAAATGTTTACCTGTAGGAGAAAGACGTGTGTAGCTAGGACAATAGCTGCAGCTGGGGCGATAGCGGCCATCCTCCAAGTCCAACAGCCATAAAACGAACTGAAGAATAATGCTCTCGCTTTGAAATTTATCCGTTCCGTTGCATGCGTGCTCATACATGCGCATTAAGCGACGGATGCATGTTCAGTGGAATGTTTTCATACATGTTCTTATTTCTGACACTTGCTTTGAAGATCCCTCCGGCGTGTCGCTAGACAGAGAGGCGGTGACAAGCCTATTGCAGCTATTGGACGTCAAATTTTCTGACTTTTTGTGAGAGAACCTGAGAAAAAACGAGATGTTTCTCAGAGGACAAATCCACGACCCACTGACAATATACTCAGTAAATATATTTCGTTGCAAAAGCTGGTGTTCCCCACTCATTTTTTTAAGAAATCCCGTGCGCAAACTAGTGAGGCAGAAGAAAGATTTTTTTATCGCATCCGTGAAACTTAATGGTTTCCAAATCCAACTGGAGGTCGCTCATACACATACGAGAGGATTTGGAAAAGTTGAGATGTCATTTAAAATGACAATGTCTTCAACTGACATGTCTGCTGTGTTACCGAGGAGAGCAGCAGTGTCACGCGAGTTCTTGAAATCGATTCTCCTTTAAAGGTTGACCAATGTAGTTCAAACAAAGTGACTGATTCAGCTAAAAATAGAACAGCTGGCTTTGTCGTATTTCGACGGTGAAACTACCAAACCACGTATCTCGGTTTGCGACGTCGCAGACTTCCTGTCATACTTTATTTTTTAAATGAAAAACTATTTAACATCCAGTCTTGAAAATTTCTGTGATTTTTCTTCTTTGTGCGGAGAAAATTCCGTGAAAATTTCAAGGAATGATATTGATTTGGTCTACTTCAAAAAAATAAAATGTGAGTGTAGATTTTTAAACACCGCAAACGAGATACGTGGTTTGGTAGTTTCACCGTCGATTTGCAACACATGAGAGTTGTGAGACATTAGTAGATGAACAAAAATTGACGGCATTTTTACGTGGATATACGGACGTATTTGTGCTAGAAGGAACTATGTTTTACGGACACCCTAAAAAGTGGTAAATTTAGGAAATAATTAAAAAAGCAGATGTGAGCAGATGTATTCTTCAAAATCCTATAATGCTCTTTCAAATAGCCATCGTCTAACTCAAAAATGTATCCTTCTTAAAACCTTAATGTTGCAAGGAGCACAATAGGGCTTAGAAATATGTACTCGCAATGGTTTCTCAAATTTGCATTTTTGAGAAGTTTTTTTTTTTTTTATTCACGTAGGAATCACTGAAAAAACTATGTTTGGCTGAAGTATGACGATTCTTGAATTTACATCTAAGAATTTTTTTCATCTAGATTCAAGTTTATTATTTCTCAAGACTAGGAAAACATGTTTGGGTTAAGCGAAAAAGTGCTTAAATTAAGCAACAAAGTTCTTGATTCAAGAAAAACTATTTCTTAGAGGCACACTGATTCTTTTTATTCAGTGAAAAGTGTCGTTGCCGGGCTGTTACGAAATACGACCAGCTCTTTCATTACCTAGGCGGATTTTTCACGTATTATTCTTACAATTTTTGAGGAAAAACGAAGATAGTAGCTATTCCAAGCAAGCGGGTTAAGTTTGTTGTTTAGCCAAGCTGCATACGGCTACATTTTACACAATGTAGCTGATAGAAGAGGATAATTCAAGTGAAATGGTGAAGGTAAAACTACAGCATCTACAGCAAAAAGTCATGTTTTCTTATTTTCACGGGACCACAAAAACTGCAACTACGCCATTATTGTTTTTTGAGGTAAAATTCAAACAATAGCTCAGGCCCAGTGTCATTGATCCCGAAAATTTCAAAAGTCAAAATCAATATTATTTCGCGGATTTTCCATGAGGAAAACTGGATCTGTACTTTTTTGATCTGAGCTTTTTTTTTACCAATTTACATCCCATTTGGAATAATGCACTGGATCAACACACTGGATCATGCACTGGATGCTATGGATCAAAACAGTTTAATGGTTTGACTTCAAATATTTTTTGAAAGCCACAGTTAATGTGGAAAAAGGCAAATCATACACTTCCTGGTACTATCTACCTTTCAGTAAATTCACTTTTTCTAGTTTTGATGTGGCCTACTTTCCTTTTTTTGTCGAAACTTTTAAAAAGTTTAGAGAGTAAATTCCGCCAAAGATCCCGATTCGTAAGAATAAAAAAACAAGAATGTTAGATCAGAACTGTGAAAAGCTCTTTTTTGTCCTTATTTTTAGTCTTGAATCATCAAACCGCTGGTCCGATTTCTAGGCATAGTTACAGCCTTCGCAATGTAAAAATGAACAGCAGTAGACCTAGGTCATGTGAATAGGCACCCAAGATCACTTTCCGACACACTTTCGATCTTTTTCAACTATTTTGTTTTGTAGCGCAATACCAGTGTTTTAATCCTATCCGCAAAAAAACTCTGATGTCTCACGTTGGAGCAAACTATGGGCAAGCATGTTCCATGACCTTCTCCTGACTGCAGAGGCAGTGGCGGGGCGGGACTGATCGATTATCCATATTTCCCCATTTAAAGCTGAAGTAAAAGATCGGTTATTGAGGCGTTCGTTGCAATCACCATGTTTATCGATCCTTTTCAATAGGTTTAAACGAAGGATCAATCGATTTATCGCAAAGCACGCTACGCCACTGTGCAGAGGCGGTGATTACCAGGGGTCAATTTGAGACAAAGGGAACTATGAAAGTCACCCGGAGCCACGTCTAGTGAATGTGGAAACAATGGACCACTAGACAAGGTACGAATTTAAGCAATCCGATACATGTTTTTTAACCAGAATTTCACGTAAAACACGATTCACACAACGAAAATTACTGAAACCAACTCCTAACAAAGATATTAACGTTTTTATTTCACATTGGCTACAAGTAATTCGACCTGCCCGCTCACAAGAAACTCAAAGCTCTACGGGAGTCAAATCGCGCACTACAACGGTTTCAACAAGCCTCTCAATCGAACAATGTTCATTTTCCACCATGTGTTGTTCAAACTATTAGCAATTTGCTACAGCTGAGCCAAAGCGTCAAGATTGAGGTTGCCAGATTTTTACATCGCAGAGACTGTCATGATAACGTTTAGCGCGCGATGTGAATCACGTAGAGCATTGAGTTTTAATGAGCGGGTGGTTTGAATTCACGCATCAAGAATCATCAAATATCTTCGTAAGGAGTTAATTTCGGTAATTTTCTATGTGCGCATCGTGTTCTACGTGAAATTTTAGTTACGGAGCACGTATCAGAATGCTGAAATTCGTACCTTGTCTAGTGGTCCATTGCCGATTTAAATTTTCCATCCTCAGTGACTCTTGCCAAATGAGGGTGAGCAATGTCATATAGTACTGCCGTGCTAAGGAAGAACGCCGTATGAACATTCGAGAGTTGCCAAATTTCCTTCCATAAAATGTTTATTTTTGAGGAAAACTATGAGTATTTTTCCTTGAAGTCAATAGACACTTTAGATCAAATTACAGACAAAATCATTTGAGAAATTGGCAGAAAAGTATTCAAAAATTTTCCGGAAAAATAATGATTTTCCAGAGGAGATTTGGCAACGGCTGAAGGCTCATACGTCGTTTTTCCTTAAGACGGTAGAGTAGCAGAACACGTCGCTTCCCACACGAAGAAACGAGGCTCCATTTCAAGGTTGCAAAATTGATCCAAACAAAAAGCCTGTTGCAAACTTTTGCTAAAGCAAGCACAATTCTTGTTTCTATCAATAAAATGTCTAAAAAATCACGATGAGTGTATTGGCAAAGTTTGAAATGCATTGCTAATTTCACAATCTGAGTAAGAAATTTGCGTTTTTTTTACCTTCCCGCTTCAAAAACGATTCCACGGCACAGGTGAACATTTCGTCAGAGGTGTCGTTCGATCCAACCCCTGTGCACTAGGATACTGCACAATATTAACATGGCCGACACCAATCCGCAAAACGAAATTCTAAACATTTGTTAGCAACCATGCCAGTTTACATTCACGATTTCTTCGCGTGGATAAGGATCTGCTTTCGTTGACCTTGTGCTCCCGATTGCGATTTGCGCGCGGAAGTGTTGGGTATTGCTATTGCGGAAAGGTTGAATGGAACAACTGCGACTTCTCGAGCGAAATGTTCACTTATGTCGTAGTATCGTATTTGAAGTGGGAAGCTCGAAAAAACGCAAAGTTCTGACGCAGATTGTGAAATTAGGAGTGCATTTCAAACTTTGCCAAAGCGCTCATCGTGCTTTTTAAGACAATTACCTACTGATAGAAACAATTCTTATTTTTGCTCTTAGGCAAAAGTTTGCAACATGTCCATTAGATGCTTTACGAGAATGCATCGGTGCAATTTTTCCTCAAATTTTTCTGATTTTGTCACGATATCAGGAGAAAAATCTGGGAAAGTTTGGGGTAGATATTCCCAAGATTTTTCTCGGGAAAATGCAATTTGCGAGGGGGAATTTGGCGACATTGAAATGTAGTAATGTTCTTCCGTGAAGGAAACCAGTGGCATGGCGTTGCGATGTATCGATTGACCTGTCATATTAAAGTATGGAAAATGATCGATAAACAGGGTGTTCGCACCGACGAACACCTTAATAATCGATTCTTTACCACAGTTACAAATGGGGAGATATCAATAATCGATCATTCACGCCTCGGAAACGACGAACTGCCCGGCGGAAAACCCCAAGACATTTGCTCTTGATCCGAGTTTTGATCTTGTTTAGTTCTTTGCAAATTATATTTTGCGTGCTCGAACTATCAGGTTGTAAATAGTCAACCAACAATACACATGGCATTTCGACGTTTCAGAAGATAACCCGCACTATGTTCTTAAAGATGGATTATAATCACGGAAATATCAAACAGGGCGTGCGAGAAGTATGCATGGATACTAGTTAATATCTCGGGAAGGGTTGCAGCTATTGACATACGGTTTGGTCAAGACTTTCTTAAATAAGAGTGGGCATAATTTTAGAGAGAGGTCATGACACCCTCCCCTCCCCCAGCCAGGAGGCAAAGGGCAACTTTCGGATTCTAAATCGGAACCCTCCGCCCTCCCAGGAACGAGAAATTACAAACTATTACAAAACATTTGTCTTTTTTTTTTTTTTTTTAGGAAGTCTCCAGGTACGAGTACCAGGAGTACCTTTGCACAATCGCGAGCCACAATTGAAAGTGAAAAAGTCATGATAATATCCAATGAATTACGCCTCCAAGCAC